ATTAATAGAAGTCAATGAGACCAGAAGTAGCGACACATTTCAGTTACAATGTTTATTATGTGAAAAATAAGGTGGATAGGTCATAAAGACTCAACTTTTTAGTCAATAAAATCAAGAAAAAGTTTAAAATCTTGGGAACTGGTGAGATCTAAAGTCTAAGGGGGGAAGTGACTATAGAAGTCAGTGGTATCCAACATTTTTCAAAATATCTTCTAGCTTTTGTGTCCAACAAAAGAAACTCAAACAGATCTGGAACAAGTGGTTGTGAGTGAATGTTTATTTTCAGGTGAATCTCATTCTGCGGATTTGAATCGAAACAACGTTGGTCTCCTCCAGCGCAGATAAGAGCAGCTTTTGGTGAAATGCAGGCAGGTTTATTGAGAGCACTAAAACGTCACGCTGTTAGTGGAATGAGATTAAAGCCAGGCCTGCTGCTCTTCTGTCCTTAGGAGTCCTTGAGTGGTACTGTTCGCCTCTCACCTCAGTCTTTTGGTGACAACCTCATCCTGTTTGTGTGTTCTTGTAGCTGAGGTGTCCATTTTATCCGAAGCGGCAGTTTTCTTTTGTAAATCTTTGACGTATAATGCTGTGGTTGTTGTGGTGAAGTGCAACAACAAGCAGTATGAAACATTTGAGGCCGGATGAAACCTAAACCACTGTGAATTAAAAGAGGATATCTAAATCTGACACCGGCCATTTGTTTGTTGGTTTGTTTGTTAGGGAACTGGTTAAATGTAGCCACTAAACTTGTGACTGTTTTAGAAAGGCTTTTCAGTCCTTAAGTTATTTTTTGGCTTTGCTTTCAGCTTCAGAAAGTAAGACCGCCACTGAAAATTAATAAGCTTATGTGGAAAACTTGAGGATTTGTCTTTGAATACAAAATCATGATCCATACAGTTTTCTTTTAGATTCAGTAATGCAGTTAGCATTAGTGGAAAATATGTTAGACAATATGTTTTGATGGCGCTAGACGGTGATGATTCTGTGAGTACAGATTGTGATTGCATATACTAGGTAATTGAATATAGTGTTTCCCAACCCTGTTCCTGGAGGAACATCAACAGTACATATTTTGGACTGTTTGTACCTTATCTGACCCATTCATTTCAGGTTTTGGGGTCTCTTCTAATGTTCTGATGAGTTGATTTAGGTGTGTTTGATTAGGAAGAGGTTTAAAATGTGTACTGTTGGTGTGCCTTTAGGAACAGGGTTGGGAAACACTGATCTAATAAACTGATACACTAAAATTAAAAATCAAGTAGTGGAAAAACATGGTTCAAATGACTTTATATTGGATTCATCTTTTAATTTCTCCTTTATTTTATGTCTTTGTTTGTTGTCACTTTTATATATAGAACTTTATGGAGTAGACATAATCTCTCTCAAAGCAGCTTTGTGGTAGCAAACAAATTAAAATGAAATGAATTTCCTCAAATGTGGAAAATAAAGTGTTTTCTTTTTCAGCTCAGATTAGTTCAGCTTTTGTTCAGTTCAATAACTCAGTTCATCAGTTATGAAATAAGTTTAGCTCAGCTATAAAGAGATTCAAAGACAACAACAGTGTCAACTCGAGTTTCCTGCAGTGTAATGTAGCTGTTGGTGTGAATGTGAAAGGTTTGCAAATTTTAAAGAACACAGTGCAAAGTATTTCCTATAGGAATTGAATTGAACTACTAAAAGGATTACTTAAGTATAGTAAAATGCTTGCCTAATGCCTGCCTCTTATAAGACCAACTACAAACAACATCTTCTTAGAGCCATCCTCAATCGCTTTAGTTGGCTTGTGTTGTCAACATCATGTTGACAAGCATTTTTCGATTTTCAGAATGCAGTCTCACCTCAGTTCTTAACTTTTTGATTCAGTGACTGATTGAATTTGTATATGAGCTCATGATTTCTGTTCATCTCCAGTGACAATTAGGTTTAGAGGTGGGGTTTGGGCATGCCTCCTTTTAAAATGTGTACATTTTTGTAATGTTTAAATCATGAATTTTTCACAAAATAGTTGCTTTTTCTTGTAATATCAGGCTGGCTTCTATTGCAAGGTTCACAAAAAGTCCTCATACAATCACTGAAGCTGCGAAAATATTTGACTTGAGTTGTATCCTCACTTTGTTGTTTACAATGTGATAATTTGTGAATGCATAGAATCAGTCACTGAGTCACTGAGCACTTGCTTTAAAACAAAACTCAAACTGTTCATTAATTGATTTAATTGTGTTTTTTTGTTCCTTCATCTTGAAATTGTAGTGCTCTATTTTTTGCAACAATTCCTTGTAAACTTTACACCTCAATTAACATACACATTTTAATGCTATATAACATCTCCAGATGGACCACAAGCTAAGAAAAACAACTGAGAAATGCTTACATCAAGTAAAACTTGTGGTGGAGGTTCTGTTCGATCATCAAATTATTTCAGCGTTTCATTATTAGATTTGAATTAATGAGGATAAAAAACTATCTAAGGAATCTTAGCTGTCCTACACTGTATAAAATCATAAACTACTGAGAAAACCTCCAGAAATATGAAATATGGTGAGGGGTGTTTGAGTGGACACCCAGAAAGGAGGGATTAAGGGGGAAAAAACTGAGGGTCATCAAACTGATTGTGACCACTGAGCTGATGCTCTACTCAATATAAAGTAAAGAGAAAAATTAGGATGTTTTTGACTTTGGAGACCTCAAAAATAAAAAGAGTTTTAGTAGCTTAATAATTGTACTTTTATGGGTGTTTTAAACTTAAGTTACATCCTAGTTGTACTTTGATATTGTACTATTGGAAATATGGTTTCGAAAGAAGAGATGGAGATGTTTGTGTCTTGATCTCTTCACTGTTGGACTATTATAATGTTTAGTAAACTTGTCTAAACAAAACATCTATGAAGCCATTACAAGTTGTGCAGAAAGCTTCTGCAAGGCTGTTGACTAACACAAGTTGCACATTACTCCTGTGCTTTAGTTTCAAAACTCCCCATCAGTTTTAGAGTTCATTTAAAGCTCTGCAGGGTCAGGCTCGCCTTTAAATCCAATAACTTTTATTTGCACACTCTTATTGATCGTTTTCATGTCATTACACCATTAGGCAGGCAAAACATTACTCTCCTGCTGACCGCCAAGTCATGGGCTGAATTGTATAAGATATTAAGATATTGTAATATGCAGTAAGATAATGTGTTAATAAATTACGTGAGACAAGCCTGGGCTGTGCATCTACAGAATTTCAAAAATGAGCCATTTATGGATTTGTGCTGAATGGCAGCATCATTGGCCCATAACAACAAGCCCCGTAGCCAGCCTGGTGAAAGGGGATGTTCTTTTATTCTCATTTATACAATTATTCTTATTTTCCATTTAACCAGGAAAGTAAGTATTTATACTTTAAACAGGGGCAGCATGGTGGCACAGTGTTTAGCACAATCGCCTCACAGCAAAAAGGTCGCTGCTTCGAGCTCTGGCTGGGTCAGTTGGCATTTCTGTGTGGAGTTTGCATGATCTGCTCGTGTTGGCGTGGGTTTTCTCCAGGTGCTCCGGTTTCCCCCACAGGTTCAAAAACATGCGCTATAGGTGAATTGTGTAAGCTAAAATTGTCCGTAGTGTATGTTTTTGTGTATGATTGTGTATGGATGTTTCCCAGTGATGGGTTGCAGCTGAAAGGGCATCCAACATATGCTGGATAAGTTGGCGGTTCATTCCGCTGTGGCGACCCCAGATTAATAAAGGGACTATGCCTTTATTATGCCATTATTAAAAAAAAAAAAAAAGTTTGATAGTTTAAATAGCTCCTACATTTTAGTGACATTTTTAGCACCATTGTCGGGTGGTCATAACCACAGTTTTTGATGTACCAAAACATTTCCTAAAGATTTAGAATGAAGGTATATGAAAAGAAGACTTTTTTCTACGTATTATTTTTTATCAAAAGGCTAAGTAGCCTATTGTCATTTATTAAGCAAATAACAAACCAGCTAGAACATTCAACTTTCCTAATAATAAAAAATATACCTGATGACGATAATACTGCTAATAATGTAGAGCTTTCCATTTTTCCAAGCATCTCTTATAAAAAAAAAAAGTATGTTTGAAAATTAATTGATAACAGCAGTAGCCTAATTAGTATTCAAATTAACTTTTATAAGCCTAAAAATTTACTTTTGGTGCTTAACACTTTTTTTTATTGGTAATTTTTTTCTTTCAAGATTAAGATCCAAGATTTAGAATAAAAGTTATTTCTAATTTTTTTTTCTCTATTTAAAACAATACAGTAGGTCAATAATTTTTACAATTTATGATGGCATATCAGTAAAAAGGAGACAAATTAGCTCATGTAGGGAGCAATTGTGGACCTTTGTCAGTGGGGTGCAGTGAACACCCCACCCCCTGGCTACAGGCCTGCAATCTATGGTACATATAACTATCAGTAGCTATGTTTCCACTCAAAAATGTGAATTAATTAAAGGTGTGCGAATAAAGCAGCGTTTCTAAAAGTGATCAAAATCTTCACTTCCTGATTATCTGGCACCAAATATTAACAGTGAAAACTAAATTTGCTTCCGTTTGAGAAGCTGCGTGAAGGTCCTTTAGCCATTCCCAGAATGCATCTTGAGACAAAACGGTTACTGTGCCTTCTGTGATGTAACTTAATGGCTCTGGAGCTTTCTCCCTCTAGCATTGAAAACTCTGGCCTCAGTTGAACATTAAAAAATAAAAATAAAAACATACAAAGACTTCATTTTTGCATGAGCTTTTAATTAACAGTATGTGAGCTGTTTTTATATTTTGGTGCTATATATACTTCGATTGTAACCTGTTTTGATTTATGTTTTCTTTTACTTTAAAGCACTTTGTGACGACTTGTCTGTGAAAGGCGCTATATAAATACTATATAAATACAATTTACTTGCATTTCTTCCGCATAGAGCGATAGGAGGCCATTCCTACATTTGACTATTTAGCATTCCTCTTTGGTAATTCACTCATCATCTTCTAATTGGTTGCAGGAGCATGACATCGAGACTCCTCGCGGTGTCCTTCATGTGACTTTGAGAGGGACCCCTAAAGGCAACCGGCCAGTCATTCTCACCTATCATGACATCGGACTCAACCGTAAGTTGTCTCGTATATTTTTTAAAATTTCTCTTTAAGTGGCACACTGTATAATTTTCAGAGCTCATCTAACAGAGGCAGGTGGTCTAAATCAGTGTTTTACTCCTGTTCCTGAAATCACACTAACCTGGGTCAAAACTTTCCAATTATTTATAGTAGGTGAAAAAATGTATGAATTATCTATGTCCTAGTATTCATACAACCATAGACCAGAAGAGCCTAGATGACCTGTTTCTTTTGCCAAGATTCTGATGTTTACATCCAAAATAAACTTTAATATCCCATAAGCCCTTAGGAGAGGAGTTGGCTGTAGATCACATGAGAGTGCCAAAATGACATGCAAATGAGCAATGAGTGCGTGTTCATTCAATCTCGAGGAAATTCCTCAAAAATGTCTATGAAGCAAATGCTCATTTTTTTCTTATGGTGATTTATGTGATTTGTTCTTTTCAATACAGATAAGTCCTGTTTTAACACACTCTTTAACTTCGAGGACATGCAGGAAATCACCCAGCACTTTGCTGTGGTCCATGTTGATGCTCCAGGCCAGCAGGAATCTGCCCCTCCTTTCCCCACCGGGTAAGACACAAAAATACAGACGAATCACTTTGTTCATGTCTCAAAACATAGTGAGATGCCTACTTACACTTTTGAGCATCATTTCTTTATTCTTATTAGTCAATTTGACATTGATATCTAAAACTTCTGTAATTTACAACCAAACCTAATTGTGTACAACCAGTGTGTGAGCATAATCTGTAGGGGTGTCAAAATTAATCGTTTCCTCGGTGCACCACGATGCAGACGCGGACAATTCGGTATCGGTTTAGTAATAATCATAACCGCTTATTACTGACGTCATTTACCTCATATGCGATCTGTTGCGAGGGAGGCAAGTAACACTGATAAACTGTGCACAATTTCACTGTGTGTGTTTGCTGGATCAGTCTTTCACTGACATTAACAGCAAAGTTTCACGGAGATCGAGAAAATGAAAATACCCCATTTCTCTTTCTCTTTCACACACACACACACACACACACACACACACACACACACACACACACACACACACACACACTGTGGCCCATTTGACCTGCTGGTGTGGCTTTTCTTCTCCTCTCGGCTGTTTTACAGCATTACCTCTGGATACAGAAACGAGCGCGTGTCTGCAGAGTTTTTTCCACCATGTCTATCATGCATCAGCTGTGAGATTGCCCCTGCCGCTTATTAGTATCACTCAACTGTGAAGAGCGCAGCGCGCAAGAGCCAATCGCAACCGTTTTTGTTGAGGGTGTGACCAATCAAAGGGGTGTAAGAGAACTAGACAAGGATCAGAAAGTGAGCTGGATATTTATATTTGTTTATATTATTTGCTAAATGCTTGTGCTGTTTAAAGGTACAGTTTAAATATCTGACTGTATTAAATGACAAAATTGTATTACAAATAGTATATAAATATAAATGTATTCATACATTTTAATACAAGAACTGCTGCTGTGAAGAAAATATAAAACTGTGTATGAAAAGCACCGTCAATGCACCGTGATACACCGAAATATCGAATTGAACCGAATCGATGGCATGATAATCGTAACCGAACCGATCCGTGAGGCTTGTGTAGGTTCCCAGCTCTAATAATCTGGCTTTCCATTATCCTGTCTTGATGCGCATTTTGCAGTATTGCATGATAAACAAGTGATACAAACGCCAAATTTCAATTAAAATTGTTTTTAATGTATCAAATTATGCTAGCTTGAGGTCATTTCGGAATTTAGCAAAACTGGTTCATGCGAATGATCTGAGATAGGGATGCATTTGCTGAATAAACTGACCTAGCAAACATTACGTCCATGTGGCTAATAAGAAGTCTCCATTATGCCTGCTTTGTTTATAGTTAGTTACTAGGTCACCAATACTACAGTCAACTGCTCTAATAACTTGATGGTAATGCACCTAATTTAAATTTGACAACTTCTGAAAAAAAACGGCTACATGTTAGAATGGAAACCCCCGCTATTGACAACATGATACAGTATGTTTAACAGATTTTAGCAAGTTCATGTTCATGGATATTTCTACACTCCAACTTTTAGTTTGCTAACTAGCCTGCTAGTACTTTTCTACACTCGCCTAGTGTGTCCCCCCCTGTGTATCTCTATAAATTTTGTGTAAATCGAGAGTTTAAATATCCTCTGAGGTCCAAGGTTATATATATTTTATTTTTTTTCAGATTGATGGGCTGAATTAGACATAACATAGCATTTATATTATAACATAGCACATAGCATTAAGTCTACCAGTAGAATGAACCAGATTGTAAACACATATTTTAGATACAGTTTATTATTGCTCTTGGAGTTGTATTTATGAACTGTTGCTGGTACCAAGCTCTTCTGTAAATCTATATGGTTACTGTCTATCTATTACTTTATGCCTCATTTCCACGGAGTAGTACAGTACAGTACGGTTCGGTTTAGCACGTGTCTCCTTTATCTGGCTTGTGTCTCCACTGGCAAATGGTATTCTTTGATAGGCGTGGTGTTCAACAGAAAATTGCAGTTGACAACATTCTCGCTTGGTTTAAAGTGCACCTATGGTGAAAAATCTACTTTCTAAGCTATTTGGACAGACATATGTGTATATATAGTGTATAGACCATCATATTGGGGTGATATAAACATACCCAGTCCTTTTTTTTCAATATTACTACATAAAAACAGTGGACCAATTGGAGCGGTTTTCAGACTGACCACAACTTTATGTAGGAGTGCGGTCCCCCCGCCCACCGAATTGATTGACAGCTGCGCGCAATAACATGTCCCTGTAGTCACGTGTATATGTCAACAAAACCAGACGTGCGCAAAGCAAACGTGAATAAAAGGTCTGTTCAGTTCGCTAGGATCAGCAAGCATCATCAAATGTGATCAAGAGTAAGTTTCACATGTTTAAAATGTTTTGAAACAGTGCACGTGTGTAATTAATTACAGCGATTTTCTTCAGCTTTACTTCATCAGCACAGCCGCGAGTCAGAACAATTATGAAGGAAAATGCTTCAATCCCGGTTTGTGGACGTTAAATCAGGTTTATTTTGTACAATAACATAACAGATATCCACACAGCAGTGGAGATTAGCCTGTATCCTGTCACATTTGCGTGCCAAACCAGTGCAAAGCTTAAACGCGCACGCTGTCTCTCTCTCTCTCTCTCTGTGTGTGTGTGTGTGTGTGTGTGTGTGTGTGTGTGTGTGTGTGTGTGTGTGTGTGTGTGTGTGTGTGTGTGTGTGTGTGTGTGTGTGTGTGTGTGTGTGTGTGTGTGTGTGTGTGTGTGTGTGTGTGTGTGTGTGTGTGTGTGTGTGTGTATGTGTGTGTTTGTGTGTGTGCGCGCAACAAATACTGATTAGTAAAGCTCTTACTGTAGTTTTTCTCACAAATGCTACGGGAGACCTTCTTCCTTTAAGTCTGTCTGTTGTCTAAAGCAGCTGAGGGAGGAGATTAAAGCACGTGGGAAGGCACGTAGAAACAGTAGGCGGGGAGGACTCACCTTAAAGGCGCGGTACGACAAAACCACCCCCTGGTGGAAAAATGTATAAAACAGCATCTTGTAAAAGGTATAATGAAAAATCTGATGGGTGTTTTAAGCTGAAACTTTACATGCACATTCTAGAGACGCAAAAGACTTGTATTAAATTCGAAAAAAGGGTAACCTAGGTGCCCTTTAAATATCGTATGAGAAGCACTTCTTACTGAACAACTGCTTTATGTACATGAATACTTATGTATAAATAAATTTTAATTACTAACCTTTCTATGACCAAGATTTGACACATGTAACAATAACATCTTCTTTAAAAGTAATTCCATTATTCTGAGTTCATAGTCCAAAACGCAATGAAGATAGTTAAACATGGCAATTTTTTCATGGTTTAGGTTGCTGAAAGAATCATCTGCTCCTTTTTAAAAAAAAATGTTTTATGTATTTATTTATTTATTTATTTATTTATTTATTTATTTATTTATTTATTTATTTATTTATTTATTTATTTATTTATTTTTGGCTTCTTTTTTCGCTCTGACGTTTGTTGTTTCTGAAAGGATTGGGTGTCAGAAGCACTTCAGTAGTCACGCGCACATTATATGAGCTTAAGAAGTTTGTTATTTTGAATATAGACGCAAGGCAAGTGCATGCAAGCTCTCTAGAGAAAGTGAAACCACACAGCTGATTCTTCTTGGCTTTGTGGTTGCTCATCAAGACGACAACGAGGTTTGTTTGTGCTTGGGTTGACCATGGCACATTATTAAATGTATATATTATTACGGTGTAATGTCTCGGCTGTGTATTAAAAAAAAAAAGGTGGTTTCTTTGTTTTTATTCTCCTGGCTGGTGTACAAGCCAATGACATTTCTCTTTAGACCAATAGCAGTCAGCCGTGTGTCTCGCTCTGCCATTTGGTACCCTTTTGTTGTGCTACATACCCTTTACAAGGCACGATTCACTTTGTGGTACCTCTTTATTGTGTAAACAGACATAAGCGTACCGACCCATACCATAACACTCAGTGGAAACAGGCCTTCCTATTTTTAACAACTCTTCCTATTTTTATTTTAAGTTGCGGTGAATTTTCACATCAGGTTTATGATTAACATGTAGATTTGCTCTGCTCACCAACAAAAGGTTGAACACTAACTCTTTTATATGTCATCTTTTTACTAATTTGACCACGCCTTCACAGTCAACATGATTTTCAGGCTCACTTAAGAGGATAGTTCACTTAAAAATGTAAATTTACTCACTATTTACTTACCCTCAAGTGGTTTCAACCCTTTATAGGTTTCTTTATTTTGTTGAACACAAGATAATGTATTTTGAAACCTGTAACCTAACCTCATAGCAGGAAAAGCAAATACTATGAAAGTCAATGGTTAATAGTCTTTTAAAATATGTACTTTTGTGATCAACAGAAGAAACTGGGTGAACTATCTCTTTGAAACTAATTTGGGATTCCTGTCTGTATTTTCTTTCCCTCAGGTTCCTGTACCCCACCATGGATGAGCTTGCTGAAATGCTACCTTCAGTTCTAACTCATCTGAAGTGAGCATCTAAACTTTAGTATTGTCTCTGATAATGTTCACATCATAAGGTTATCCCTAAATCAGTATAAGTAGGCGAAAGCTTGTAAATTTCATCTAGCTTGTGCATTTCTTTGTCTTTTTATTTAATCCGTGCTGGCATTTCTAAGTTAATGAGCTATATGAATGATTGTTCTTCAACAGAATCAATAGTGTGATTGGGATCGGTGTGGGCGCAGGAGCTTATATCCTCACTAGATTTGCTGTAAGTAAAATAATCTTCCATTCCATAGAGTTATGATGACCTATTAGTCATTTTATGTGGGTATAAAGAGCTCTTTGAAATCAAGTCGATTGAGCACAATCATGATGTTTAATTGAGCATCTTGAGATCATGAGAGGTGAACATCAGTAAAGATCATCTGCAGTTAAACCATCAGTCTTCAGTCTACAATAAAATTCCCGACAACTCATCTAAGACTCAAAGTTCACACATGCACTTACACTCTCACCCTACACAAAGCCCTCATTCACCGTCTACACACAAACCTCCACGGATGGATTTCCTCATAAACGCATTTATTAAGACTCATACACACTCACTCTCATGTTTCCTGCTGCTTATTATCAAGGTATAATGAGATAAAGGATATTTCATCAGGTTATCCGAAGAATGTGGCCGTCTTTAGCTACTTTCCCCATTACCTCGGTCAAGCAACTTAGCTTTTCACACTTGTATGTTTTCTCAGCTTGCAGTGCACTTTATCATATTTCGACCACATATGCACTCGCTCAGATGGATGACTGAATCAAACACACACCTACGCAGCTCTGCAGAACAAGCGCAGCAGAGAAAACCATTTAAAACCTTCTAAATGACCCTTTATTTGTCACATGCTTATTCATCGGTGAAGTCATATGAGAGTGTGACCTCCAAAACTGCTGGTGCTTCTCTGCATGTCTTCCTCACTTCCGAGCAGAATCTGATGTGGAGAGGAAAAAGAAGAGGTGTGAAACATGTGCTTTATTTCCATCACCGTCATGATGCATTTGATTTGTTCATGTGTCTGCCTATAGTTCTGTGTTAAAACCAAGTGTGAGGCCTTGCACGAAGTCTGCGTCTTGGACCCTGACTTACTGAGAACTTGGTAAAGGTGTTGATGTTGAGACCTGGTTTGGTCACGTCGATAGGAGGTTTTGCTTGGTCATCACTGAGACTTTCTCAGGCAATCTATTTCCCATTGTTTTACTGTATGTGGCGTTCTCAAGTGTTTTAATGTGACGTATTTCACTGCATGAAGGCAAAATGTAGGGCACAACATTGCATACTCGCTCTTTTAGAGTTGTGATTGGTGAAAGCATCCCTATGTATGTATTTTAGTTGGCCAAATACAGTCATTTAAAGCAGGGATTTCCAGACGTTTCAGCCCGCTACCCCCAGAATAACAATGCCAGTGACTCGCGACTCCCACTATATTCTAAGATGGTTAAAAATATACTAATGCTGCACACACAACAATAGACCTATATGAACACTAGCATATTGACAAAACAAAAAACTGCAACAGTCTAACAACCATATAATTTTTATAGTCATTTATTAATTTGTTTAATATAATATTACCCTTACCTAATGAGACTGATGGCATAATGTTTTAGCACAGGTCTGTTTTTGGTTTAATTTTGGTGACCGCCACTTCTCAATATCTTCAAGTATCTTCTCATTACTTAGTTGTGACCTATATTTATTTTGAAGGTATTTGATTGCCATTAATGTGTCAAAGTTTAACCTGGTGCTATAAATTCAATCTGCTGCAGCTGACGCTATTACTGTGTCGTTGATCTAAGGGTGCTCACACTCCTAGACTTTTGTTTTAGAACCATTTGTTCAGTTAGCGCGGTTCGTTTGGCATGTGAATCCAGCAATCGCGCTCGAATCTGCGCCGGATCAATCGCTCCGAGATCGCCTGAATGGATATATGAAGAGAGAATTATGAGTAGGGCGTGAGGTCATTCCAGACATCCCAAGTCTCCTGGAGGTTCTGGGAGTCTCCTGCAAATGCACAGAGACTCCTGGATGCCCACAAACGAATGAGAATCTTCCGGAAATCGCGCGTCACCCTCCTTGTCCTCAAATCCGTCACACACGCTTCTCACCCCTCCCCACCGCATCCCTCCTCGCTCTTCACACGTCGCGTGCATCCTTTAACACCACCAAACCCCCCCGGTCTTCACATCGCCTATAATGTCTTATTGCTCATCGTTATAACTTAAATAAGGACATCGTATGATTTTTTTTTTAAGGCTGATGGCTTTTTATTAGCATGTTGTTGTTTTTTATTGTCTGTAGGATATGGATAATGGCCCAATTCTATTTGTGTACCCATTCGTCTTTCCCTTGGCCCTTGAAACAGAATGTGAAGGAGAAGGGCTTCAAAATTTACCCCTAAGAAATGGGACACCACTACAACACATGCTTAAGTCTCATCATATGTCACTGCGGTCTTATGCTTCATATGATATCGACAATCGCGACTGCTGTAGTTATTCCAGTTGTGTTATTTTTTGGTATTTATCTTCAGGAAATCACTGAAGGCATCGATATCATGTTATCATAATGATCTAATGTGGCAATAAGATCATAACTGTACTGTGCATTTACACAGTGGCCATATTCATGATGTAAATACACAAAATATACATATACATATATATATGTGTGTGTGTATGTGTGCCATTTCATATATCTTCCTACAGCTGAAATTTACAGCTGATTGAATGATTACAGAGTAAATCATAGTAAAACAGGATGATTCACTTATGCTTTACTGCAATTAGAAATCAGGCATTGTTCTGTCACATCTGCGAGCATCACTATGGCAATTTATTCTTTAAAATCTCAATAAAGAAATTTAATTTGGAAGATTTTTATCACCAAAAGTAACCAATAACAAAGTTTCATGTGATTTATTGGACTGGAGATGTGCTGTATAATGTCTAGTGAAGTTTTATCTATATATCAACTGAAACAGCAGAGATTACAAGATCCATCTTTGGATGAAAGAATTTGGATTTTTTTTTTCTCCAGGCCAATCACAGTGTTATTGAGTTAGATTGTCACATGGCTCAGACAAGTCTATATTTAACAACACCTCAAGAAGTCAAGAATCTCTCATTAGTCTGTTCATCTACATGTCGAGCTGTTAATCCTCTCAGTCAGTATGTGCTCTAAGTGTATTAGCCATGATAGTCTAACCCGTGTTTTGTCTTTCTCTAGCTGAATGAGCCTGCTTTGGTTGAGGGACTGGTTCTCATAAATGTGGACCCCTGTGCTAAGGGCTGGATCGACTGGGCTGCCTCAAAGGTAAACATGTGAATACACTGTCAATTAAACATTAAATCAATTAATCAATGAATAAAAATACATAAATTCATACTGGAACTGTCTGAGGTAATATAAGTATCTCTATAGGAACAGTTTTTACAAATAATTGTTTTTCTAACAATATGTACTGCAGGAAAGTGGCAGACAGATGTTAAGTAATGTGTAAATAAATAAACAATACATTGATCCCTCTAAATAAACTTGACTACAACAGAAGTCTTAATATATTCGCTAAGGAACACTCTACATCAGTGGTTCCCAACCTGTGGTCCGCGCCCCCCTAAGGGGGGTGCCAGAGTTCACAAGGGGGGCGCGGGAGAGGATAAGTGTTGAGGTAGAAAAAGGCAAAAAATGCTCCTCTATTATATTGACCTTATTCTCCGCCGATGAGTGGGCGCTGCCATTTGAATCTTTTTGGCTCGAGACTTCCGGTCTCATTCACTTCCATTCATTTTTAGACATTAAAAACTGCTCATTACGCTGCTTGATGTTGCAATTTGACAATTCCTTGTTATATTATTCTACTTGGTCTGTGTAGTCATGCAAACATTTGTTTGTAGAGCAAGTAGTTTGACCGTTTTCTTCCGTTTATTATTCCTAGTCATTTCTCCCATAGGCTACTGAATCGGAAGTTCTAAGACAATCGCGAAAACAGGCGCACTTCCGCATTTTAGAATAAGGTCAATATATTATATAGGGCTGTACAATTAATCGAAAATCCGATTTCGATTTCAAACGATTATAAAAAAGCATTAATCGAGATAAAGGATTATTGCATCATATACCGCCACCTTTACAGTTGTACTCCTGTTGCTCTAAAAAGCGCGAAGGAGCGCGTGCTTATGTGTGTGTGCAGCACGCACACGCAGCCAGAAGCATGCGGCCGGTCAGCATTGGCTCTCATTCGCACACTGAGACGAGCAGCGGAGCGCAGACATCTAAAGTCATTAACGTGAGCGCTTTAATGGTCAAATAGGTGTCAAAACGCGATGTTTAGTGATTATTTATATTAACCATCATTTGTGTAATAAACAAACGAGTTGAGGATCAAAAGACATGTGAAAGAGAAACCAAAGAGACAGCGAGAAATATTCCTGCTGCCGCCTGTTTTTATGATTATTAATCAAACAACGAGAAAATCCCTCACTAGTCTTGACTAAAGTACTGCTGTAGCTAAAATGTTTTTCTTACAGTGAAGATGCATAAAGCACGGTTTGTTTAATATTTTTGTTCTATTGTATTTATTTCTCTTTCCTTTGCAGGGTGGAAAATAACTGTATGTAAACACTTGAAGTCAGAATTATTAGCCCTCCTGAATATTAGCAACCCTTTTCCTCCCAATTTCTGTTTCATGGAAAGAAGTTTTTTTTTTACTTATTTCTGAACATAATAGTTTTAATATCTCATTTCTAATTACTGATTTCTTTTATCTTTGCTGTGATGACAGTACATAATATTTTACTAGATATTTTTCAAAATACAAGCATTCAGATTAAAGTGCAATTCAAAGGCTTAATTAGGGTAATTAGGCAAGTCATTGTATAACAGTAGTTTCTTCTGCAGACAATCAAAAATATTTATTGCTTAAGGGGGCTAATAATATTGACCTTAAATTGGTTTCAAAATATTTAAACCTACTTTTATTCTAGCTAAAATAAAACAAATAAGCCTAGAAGAAAAAATATTAAAGGAAATACTGTTAAAATTCCTTGTTCTGTTAAACATAATTTGGGAAATATTTATAAAAAAAATAAAAAACTCTCAGGAGCGCTAATAATATTGACTTTAACTGATAATCGTTTTGAATTATCGTGATTACAATTATGACCAAAATAATCGTGATTATGATTTTTCCCAAAATCGAGCAGCCTTACTATTAAATATGTATTTTTTAGTACCAAAAAAAAAAAAAAAAATATATATATATATATATATATATATATATATATATATATATATATATAAAACAAAAAAAACAAACAAAAAAAAATATATATATATATCAAAACACATGCTTAAAATTCCAACATAATAGTAAAAATAATTAAAATAAATAACTTTAAATAATTATTTAAATTTTGCTCACTCACGCAATGTGCTTGTCAACGTGTCGTAAAGGTAAAATCAAAACAAAATCGGCAGAGAAATGTAAATGCAGTGATTCTTCAGAGGCGAAGAAAAAGATTAGACAGTATGACAAAGACTACCTAAATTTTGGTTTTATTGATGGCCAAGACAAGTTAAAACTGATTAATTTATATTTTCTATACATATTATATATTAATATTACACAAACACACACATTCAGTGTGTATATATATATATATATATATATATATATATATATATATATATATATATATATATGGGTGTGCGTGCGTGTGTATTTAAATGGTGGGGGGGCTCCAATGTTTGTATATGTTCATGGGGGGGGGGGCCCTAAGAAAAAGGTTGGGAACCACTGCTCTACATTTTTTGAAAATGTGATCATTTTACAACTCCCCTAGGGTTGAAACCGTTGAGTCTTACCACTCTTGAATCCATTCTGCCAATCTCTGCATCTGGCGGGAATATCTTTAGCTTTATAGATCATTAAATGAGACTAAACCTTTAGCATCTCACTCAAAAGTTATGAAAAAAGACTTTTGATTATTTTTCTGTTTAGAGCTGGAGTTTTTACATTGTGCAGTAAGACCGACAGAAAAAAAGGTGCTATTTTTGAGGTTATTTCCTGGAACTAGGTCTGCACGATTTATTGTATTATTATCCTGAAAGTGATATTTGTTGCCCACAATAAATAAATAAATATCGTCACAATTTTACAGTATCAAGACCAAGTCGTTATTTTAATGGGTGGGGTTTATGGATTGTACCGCATCACAAGCATGAGATGACTGTGTCTACAGGGTGGGCCATTTATATGGAGACACCTTAATAAAATGGGAATGCTTAATGATATTAATGTCATGTTTGTGGCACATTTCTATATGTGAGTGGGCTTGTAAATAACTCATGAAAGAATAAAGTTGACAGAAACATGTAGACAGAAAACACTGTATCCAAATGTTTCAATGTAAAAAAAAAAAGTCATTGTGGCCCTGTTCAGGTTTGTTTTCATCAATCTGATGCAACTTTTATTAGTTACAAGAAAAGAAAATGTAATTAGAAGTTTCAGATCGATTAAACGTAAAAAGACTAGCCTGTTTTATGCATTAAATAATGAAGTAGATAAGTAATTTCCTTCATTTCTGATTAGACCATGCACTTTATTCCATTTTACAGTTTAATAGGTATATATGCTTTTTTAAAATAATATTTGTTTAACAAATATTTTTGCACATTGAAAGTAATTAAGTTATCTGTCTTTTGATTAAAAGCTTTATGCAAAGGTTTAGGAATTGATTGCGCACAAAAAAAAAAAAAAAAAAACAATCATCCAACACATGCATCACTTTCAGGCCACGTTTTGGAGGAAAAATTTGCATCTGAGTGGTGTTTTGAATAGAATACAATTATTAAAAAGCTTATATACACATAAAATAAAACATTCACAAAGGTGTATCTTATGGAAAAACACCAATTTATGAGTGCTGCTTTTTTTTTTTTTTAAAGAATCAAGGAGTTTTAAAATATAAATCTAATTTGCAGAAGAGAAATGACAGGAATTTGAAAAGACGGAGTGTAAAAGCCGTCTCAGCCCTACTTGGAACTATACTCTAATTCCATTTTAACAATCAAGGAACTTTGCTGCTGTACCATGGATTATGCAGTACTGTTACCTAGCTGCCTATCTGGGCACTATTGTAAAGCACTGCGTAATATTTTTGCACCTCCTGCAGCCATGGTAAGGCAGCAAAACTCCTTGATTATTTCACTAGAATGAGTATAGTTCCTAGACATATTAGCCTACAAAATAGCAACTTTCAATTTTCCATCGGTCATAGTATACAACGTAATTACAGAATAGTCAATTTGATTAGTAAAATGATCGAAACTCACTTTTGAAATTGAGTTAAATGCTAGCGGTCTAATCGGATTTAATGATTTAATGAACAAAAAAATGGTAAAACTCAACTTTTAACTACAAATAGCAATTTTCCGTCAGCCTTAGTGCAAAACATAAATACAAAAGACTCTGCAAATGGGTAGAAAAATATAGTGAAACAAGTTTTAGAAATTAAGTAAAATGCTAATGGTCTAATCTGATTCAATGATTTTTGCTAAGCTAAGCTAAAAGTGTTCTGAATGGATAAAATAGTAAAACACAGCTGTTTAAATCTAGCGGACTTGTTTTTTTAAGTCATGTTTCTTGAGTATTACTATTTTTCTTTTAAGTATAAGTCTAATTATAGATTCATCACCATTTCATGTAATAAATTGTGTTTTTAAATCTTTTTATTTACTGATTATTTACCCATATTGCATATAACCCATAGCCATATTCTCATAAATGCTTCATATCATATACTTCCATGATTAGCCAAAAGCTAACGCTATTTCTCCATACTTGAGATTTCTCAGCAGATTAGTGTGCTTGATCTTCTTAAGGGTTTCCCTGTTGTAAAGCTCTTAATAACCTTACAGGTCAAATTGCAACATTAATGAAAAGTGCTGAAGTCGGTGGCTGTGAATGTTGGGTGGAGGTGCTGGGAGCAAGATTTGTATGATCTTAAAACATCTGTTTGCTTCTGTTTTTAGCTGTCTGGATGGACCAGCAATCTCATAGACATTGTGATGGCACACCATTTCAGCACGGTAGGTTTAAAATATGATGTTCCCCTGGAAATCCGTTAATGACTTCAAGTCAACAGCACCTTTAGAAATATGTTTTAAAAATGGTTACATGTTTAATACTTATTTTCCCCGCTGTATATATCCGACAATAATGTGCTTCTGGTTTTACCTCTGAAGTTGTAGTATACCATACATGCGCGTACCTGTTTTCATTGAATTATATGCTTTATCAGAAACCAACTAAATAAAATTATTTAAAAATCAAAGAGCATAGTAATTAAAGCCACTTAATTTAAAGTGGGACCCAAAAGCTATGTAATAACCTGCAGTACCACTCCATGATTTCCTCAATAAGTATTTCAATCGTTGCCCTATAAAGAGTTAAAGACTACGCTTTTCTTCCTCAGGATGAGCTGACGGAGAACCAGGAGATTATCCAAACATACCGCCTGCACATCGCTCAGGACATCAATCAGGATAACCTGGCGCTCTTCTGCCAGTCCTACAACAGGTGACAGGATCAAAACACATTGATTATTGGCAAATGAGCTGATCTTAACTGGATTTTCTTCTCTTTACTGCAGTCGTCGAGATCTGGAGATTGAGAGGCCCGTTCTGGGAATGAACGAAAATGCAGTTAAAACGCTGAAGTAGGTTCATTGGTTGTCTTTTTCTTTTTAGGGTGTCTTTTAAAATGTCTTCAATTTGCTGAAATATTGTGTTGTAGGTCATAAATGTCCCTTGAAGTATAATGTCCATTTTTATTTGATGTTTGATGAATTCTCAACCGAAACCAAAGAGAGTGTGGGATATGGTGGAGCTTCTACCCTTTAAAAAAAACAAAATACATTTTTATATCAGTTTTATATCTTCTAAAGGAGAATTTGTCACTGTTTTGTCACTGCCCTATTTTTCTAATTGAAAACCTTAGAAAATCTAAACATTTTTGTGCTGATAGGCTTCAAAATCCATTGCATGTTAAGGGATAAACTATTATTTTACTGCTTATTTGTATATACATACAGATGCCATTAAACCAGGCTGGAGCTCATATATATATAAAAAAAAAAAAAATATATATATATATATATATATACATAAAATCTGAAAGGTTGAACAGAAGTGCTGCAACATGTTGCAAAAAGCAATGATCCAGTGAATTTAATCAATCTTTAGGTCAAATTTAATAGTTGTTTAAATACCTTCACTCAATTATATGGACTATAAAATTTTGTGAAATAATTTTTATTATAGTATTTTTTTATTATGGAATTGTTTTTATAATATATTATTATATAATTAGAGAAATTTTAGAATAATTTTAGAAATGAGCTAGAACAAGATTTTTTACATTATTGGCCAATTTCTTAAAGTAGAATGTTGTGACTTCCAGCTCATTTTGCCAGCTTGAGTCACAAATGTATCAACTACAATTTTTAAGCCTATGTATACAAGTCTAAGTATACAATTTAAATAGATATTTAAAGTTGTATACAAATATTGTATTTTAATTTTGACAACACATTGCTGATCATGTTTTATAGTGCTTTTATTAAAAGTATTGAAATGCTTCTGAAGCCTAGAAAAGGTCACTGGAGAAGGTGATAACAACAGCCAGTTAGTTGTTGGGAATAAAACTAAAGAGTATTCATTGTATATACAGTACTGTACCAAGAAAGAGTATTAAATAGGGCTATCGTGATTATCAATGATAAGAGGCATCCTTTATTATACACCTTCAAATGGTTACCATTATAGTCGATATTGTGTTCAAAGATGTGTAAGAAATTGTTCAAAATGATCATTTATCCCTCAAGCAGTTAAGTTTTTAAATTCCTCTTCTCCTAGTAGCAGTTGATGGCCAGTAGACTGGATGTTGTATACTGTAAATAAAATTTCCCTACAGGGACAAATTAAGTTAACTAACTAATTAGAGTTTGCTTGTTTTCACACATGATTAAAAAAGAGGCTAAGAAATATCGAAATTAGATTTTTTGGAAGGGATTCCAATTAACAATCTTTTCCACTGGCCATTAGAAAAAAATCCTTAAGTGTTTAGTAATGTAAAGTCTGATTTTTTTTTTTCATGATGGTCTTGAAGGTCTTAAAAAGTCTTAAATTTGACTTGTTTGACCCTGTTTGTTATTGTTTTGATAATGCCTATACTTACACTGTGAGGCCTGTCTTCCTCTGCTGTTTAGGTGTCCTGCCTTGCTGATTGTTGGAGACACATCACCAGCGGTAGAGGCTGTGGTGAGTGACTAATCAAAAAAATGACCTGTTACGTCTACTGGCAATGAGAAAGAACATGTTGTGCTTCCTGAAAGAGTGTGCACTGACATCACGTCTTAAAAGAGCAGATAGCATGTTTTGCAATTTGTGTTTGTTTATGCTAGTGCATCACTTATGACAAGAAATGTCACATATGGGTCAAAGGTGATAAGGTTTTAATGTAATAATAATGTTAAATAATAATAATGTTAAACACAGCTTTTCTTTTAGTGCATGTGTGCTGCAAAATATAATGACTCAGGTTAGTCTCACTCAGTAGACATCAAGTCAAATAGAAATCATGAAGCAAGAAGAATTATATAACCTGATAAGTGTTTATTTAGGAATGACAATGTAGCCCTAAAATATTATTATTATTATTTTTAGTCTTTTTTTTAAGTAAAGCTCAAATTATGTGGTTTAATTTGTACATAAATGCATTGTTCGTGTTGAATGATGATTGGATATAATTGTATCTATGTTTTTTCATTTTAGTATCACAAATGCTATTTTACACATTTAAGAAACATTTTACATGCTTTTTAATATGCTTTTATTATGGTTTTCTATTTACATTTTAATATGCTTCCCAGTGTTTATAAAATTGCTTTTGTATATAGTTTGATGTTGCCATCAAAAATGAGATGTCTTTGGCCTACATGTATGAAGAAATGAATTGATAAAAACACTACAAATTGCGTGACCAGCACAGATAAATTATAGTTTTAGGATGCTTTCACACATAGACTTTTGTTTCGGAACCTGGCACGTTTCCCAGTTAGCGAGGTTCGTTTGGCATATGTGAATCCAGAAATCAGGCTCGGATCAGCGCCAAAACAATCAGTTCGAGATTGCCTGAACGAAGTGCTCGATTGAAACGAATTGGCTCGATTGAAACGAACTCTGCAGCCAGGCTATATCACGGTGTATATGTAATAGAAATATATATACAAGAGAATTATGAGTAGGGCAGATCGTCATTCCTACCGGTAAATATGTGTTTCATGTCAAATACGAAAGTGAAAGCATGCTGAACTATTAACGAGAGCTGTTATCTGTTAGGAAAATTGACCAAACAGCAGTCTTGGTTTATCTATTATTTTTGTCTATAATGTAAAGTCTATAATGCATAAGCCAACGATTATATATGATCAAGTCTTACTTATATTTGGTAACTATATCTGTGGGTGTCAACATTCAAATTAAAAGCGCAGCTTTTCGCTTATAATGTCCTATTTCTCATCTTCATAAATTAAAATAAGGGCACATGACAGCTGAGCGGGACTCTGCAAAATAAACCGTGAATCTCTGACCAATGTGAGGAGAGTGTACTCGCATGTGATTTGTTTTAGCTCTTTTGGTCCAATCAGAAACGTTGCCATGTGAAAGCGAACCGCATCAAGTACAAAGTGTAACTATGTAACGATTTTAATCCCTGTTTCGAAACAAGAGAATCAATCCACAGGTGTGAAGCACCCTTAAGGCTCAACATTTTTTGCTTGTGTTTTCTATTGACGTTTAACGCCTGGTGACTAAATTAAGGGCATCATTGTGATCGTGCACACCAACGCGCAAAACGGCAGGCGTAAAAACGTCATTTAAAAAAAAATCCCTCATGCTCGTTTTTTGTTTTGACGCACCGTGTCAAAACCTTCTCCACCAATCAGATTGGCACTTTTGTTCATGTGCACGGAGCTACTGAAGTTACAGTAAACTGCACTTGGAGGCGCTCAAGCACAAAACTGTCAATACGAGCGCACATTGAAGAAGATGCCCAGCTGCGATATAAATGCGGAGCTGCTTATTCCTCTGGTGAACAATAATAATTTCTTCATTGCTAATAAAAAAAGTTACAAGTTAGGGGCAATTTAAAATATATATTTAAAAAAATAGTTACACCGTCGTGGACTTGTTTAGTTTGTTTACGTATACTGAGTTTTCTTTCACAACTTTCAAAAATGCAGTTTAGCTTGTGACTTGACCAGGTGGTATTATTTTTTTTTTTGTCTTTTTCAACAGGTTGAATGCAACTCGAGGCTTAACCCAACCAAGACTACTTTACTCAAGGCATGTCGGCTTTTTCTCTTCCTTGAATAATTTTTGGATTCAGAGATGTAAACCTGTCAAAATAATTGTTTGTGTTCCAAAGTATCATTTGTGTTCATTTGTGTCTTTTTGGGGTGCACTGTTGGTGTTGGTGTGCAACCGGATTTGATTGACATTATCATTTAATTAGATTGGCTGATGTGAAAATTGTAGGTGTGCACCCATAAACTGTACCTGAATCTGCTTGAAAACTGTGGTCTGGGCTAGGCAACACACCATGAACATACCTGCCAACACTCCCATATTTTCCGGCAGTCTCCCGTATTTCAGATTTCAGATCAAACTCACGGAATTTCACCCCCTTTCTCCGGTGCTCAGTTGTTTGGTACAATCTATAACACAGCCGGATGGCTGACTATTCCGATGGCAGCCGGTGCCCGGTGCATAGGACAGATCAGGCACCCCTTCAGGTCGCCCCGCTCTGCTCCCACTTGATGGTACTGAACTTCCTCTCCCACACTTTTTGGTTTTTCCAGCCTTTGTAAAGTACTAGACACAGACACATCCTCACAGACACATAACTTATCTTATAGCAGTAATCACAATACCGTGATAACCTGAAACTGTGATATTTTTTCCAAGGTTGTCATGCCTTCAAAAATATTATTAGGCCCATGCCTAATATATTAGACTTTCCAGCTCTCTTCCATGTGCAGGACTTGAAATGGCATTCGTACGTGGTCTGCTACACGTCTGCAAGTTAATGAAAGTGTGGCCTGTTTAATAAAGTCAGACTTTGCAACAATACAAAACAATTTATTGAGATTCACAAGATGGTCTCCTTGCAGCCTATTGCGAATGTTTGTCTTGACCTGCCAACACATTAACTGTTAAAATTTAGCTTAAAGCAGCAAAAGTCTTACAGTTTACACTGCTGACTGGGACGGTGAGGGCAATAGAAGCTACTTTAAACTAAAAACAAAAAACTATACATTTTAAAATTAGAAAGTGGGCCAGTTTGTCTCAAGCGCTATTAGTACACAAGTATACTACTAGTACATTGATAATTGTATAAATAAAAATATACTTTTGTACTTGACCTTTGACAGAATGTGCAGGCGAGAGAGACAGAGTGCACGCGAGAGAAGCCCTGTGTTGGCGTGCGAGAGAGGCAGAGTGTGGGTGCTTGAGAGAGACAACAAGACTAAACTATTATTAATTACCCTCTCTCGCGTGCACTCGGTCTCTCTTGCCTGCACCTGATCTACGTCACACTCATTCGGTCTATCTGCATTCGCTTGACTTTTGGACCCGGAGCAGGAGAGCTACTTCGACTGCTACCTGCAGAAGAGGAAGTGCTGCCATCGTCACTACACTAGGAGAGTTTAAAGAATTCTGATATTTTTCTTTTTTCTGTAGGCTGATGCGACATCCTAGCCAGCCTAAATCCATAGGGGTTACGTAACATCAATGTAATCTTATGAAAAAAACAATTGTTTTTTTGTTGTCAAATGACATTCTGTGAGACTACGTACAAAAAATTATTTAGAATTATTTTTTACAAGAATTAAGCAACAATTGTGGAATTAAAGTGATTAACTTCTGCGAAACTATCAGTTCTGTCAGATGGGGTGTGCTTTCTCATTCCCATACAGCAGAGTGGCTGTGTGGAAGGGTTTAGTGAGCAGAAATTTGTAAACGCGTGACCATGTAGAGACAGACATGCTGTTTTGTAAATAAATAAATTAACTTCAGGGGGGCGGGGAAAGCTATTGGGTTGGGCAGGGCGCCACCCTAATATAATGGAATAATATAATATAATATAATCCCTGGGTTCAGAAGCAAAAATCACAGGGTGAACAGTCTACGTGGGAGGGTCAATCAAACCTTGGTGTAAACTAGGCAATCAAACCTAAAGTGAAAGTACCCTTTGAGCATAGTTGTTCAGTACGTTCCTCATCATCAAAATATATGTATACACTCACTGGCCACTTTATTTGGTACACCTTACTTGGGTACAGAACTACCTTAATCTGTCGTGGCATAGATTCAACAAGGTTCTGGAAATGTTCCTCAGAGATTTTGGTCCATATTAACATGATAGCATCACGCAGTTGCTGCAGATTTGTCGGCTGCACATCTATGATGCGAATTTTCAGTTCCACCACATCTTAAAGGTGCTCTATTGGATTGATCAATACTCAGACCAGCCCGTCTGGTGCCAAGAACCATTGTTCAAAGTCACTTAAATCCCCTTTCCTCACCTTTCTTATGCTATGTTTGAACTGCAGCATATCGTCTTGACCATGTCTACATGCCAAAATGCATTGAGTTGGTGCCATGGGATTGGCTGATTAAAAATTTGCTTTATCGAGCAGTTGGACAGGTGTTCCTAATAAAGTGGCCGGTGAATATGTGTATGTATTGTTGTTTTAAATAAGTTCGGTCCTTAAAATTTAAAATAATAATAATAATGAAGGTTAAATGAACCATAACTAAATGGTCCACATCAAAACCTGAGGTGAATGGAGGCCAGTTCACACTGCACCAGCTGATTCTCATTAGTGGATTGATTTTTTTTCTTGTCCTCTCTTCAGATGGCAGATTGTGGTGGACTTCCTCAAGTTGTCCAAGTAAGCATAAAAACAACCTGACATGTTAGCCACTGCATCAGGATGGTGTAGTTTTGACTTGTATTGACAATAAATGTCTCTTTCTACAGCCGGGTAAACTTGCTGAGGCTTTCAAGTACTTTGTCCAGGGAATGGGCTACAGTAAGTATCTCTTTTTCACACGTTTATCTTATGTGTATTATTTGTATTCAGTGTTTGTTTAAAATGTGTCCCTCGTTTGCATTTTGTGTCTAAGAGCGTCTTGATGTTAGAGAGATGTCTGCATCATCAACAAATCGCTTACTGTGTGTCCCAGTGGTTTAATAATGTGTGTCATAAACACTCACACTGTTACATCTAAAACAGCTGCAGGCTTATGACTCGTTCAGGGTGTAGGTGTGAGTGAGTACAACCTGCCTGCTCAAAGAAATGACTTTTAACCCATATTATTGTCAGTATGAAAACAAAAACTGCCACAGTGGAACTTTTACCCACTTCTTAAAACATCAGAATGGTATTCTTGAGGAAAGCTGGTCTGAGATCAGTAACTCAGGCCCTCTGCTGCACTAACACATGACTTGTCTCCCATGTGGCTGTGCAGTGATGCGTTCTTCAGCGTGTAAGTACACTAGTCTTCCTCTAAGAGCATGCGGTGTGGCATGAGCCCTGTGTGACAAACCTTCTCTGAGCTTCGGGTTTAATGTCTTTCTCTATTAGATCTTCTGACTGCACAGTGGTTTGCACAGCATGTTAAAATTCTGTAATATACCTTAAAGTCTGTATTTAAGGTTTCCTACTCTTAAGCCAGATGTCAAACTCTCTGACTAAAAAGTGGATTTTTCATGACCTATAATGAGCAGTGAGTAGACAAACAGAAAGACCTGTTTAGCATTCAGTACTAAAGAAGTTTGCCTTATGCGATTCAAAGGCCTTGTTATTCTTTTTAATTATTTTTAATTCAATTAATAAAGTAAGTAATTATTTATTTACACAAATCTTAAGACTTTTGATATGTGACTAAATACCAGTTGCCGAGGCAAAAAAAAGTGTAATTTTTTTTGATGCAAGAATTTATCATTGTACTGTTTGATTCAGAAAATGAGAACTAATTTTGTTTTTTGCTAAAAGATTGAAACAATTTATGTCTTAATTATTCTTTATATAATATACTGTAACTCTCTGACTAATATGCATCAATAAAAAGGAGTTAAACTAAAACCTGGAACTTAATTAGCTATATTTATAATTGGCCTTTTGTAGCACCTAATATAAGCTACTATTAAACTAATTACCTACTATTAGCTACTATTAATTACCAAGTCTAAGGGAAAACAACATGGGCATAACAAAAGCAGTAAGATGGTGGGTGGTGGATTTCGCAAACAAAATAAAAACCTTATCCAACAGATCTCCTTTGGTCAACAACCAAAAGCGAACACTCAGTTGATAGTTAATAGATTTATTTTAGAAAAAAAGTTACAATTTATGTGAGCATCTCTTCAGTGTGTCCACAGGCTGAAATAACAATTAAAATAATCTGTAAAATAAATAAACTGAACATAAACAAAGTCAAAAGTTATGAAAATAAATAAGCAGGTGACCCCTACAAGCTCAAACTTTCAAAAGGTTGCAAGCATACTGTACATGGGCATTTAGACAAGAATAAAGGTTGGTCGTCTGTCGGAGGAGTAAGGAAATTCAAGAGCAACAGTTGCACCAAAAAAGAGCTCCTCAAACTCTGCCAGAAGTTCCCTTTTATCTGGACTCTCTGTGACAAGCAGCCAATCAGATTCTGGAACACTTTAAAATGGGAGCCAATGGGAAAACACAAAACAACACATAAGGCGGGACGAAGAAAGAGACACATGCAATGCACAACAAAAATAAATAATGCAGAGTTCAGACTGCACAGACAGCATCACACTCTCTCTCATTCACACACATACACACACACACACAGACAGCACCAAGCTCTCTCTCTCTCATTCACACGCATACATAAACAGCATTCACACACTTACATATGCTTGCTCGCTCGTTTGGGAGTCGGGATCGATATTGTTAGACAGCCGGCTCCCGTTCAAATTTTATTAGTTACCGACTGCTCCCATGCTTTATTCAGAAATTAATTCCCGTGCAGCAAGAAATCTGGTCGGGTCGCGTGGCTCCCACGGTACTGCCGGGGAATGCAGACTTCTATTTCACACTGCATGACTTTAAAACAGGAAGAATTGCTGACAACTTTGTCCAAACTACGTTTCACATCCAAACACACGCAAAAAGACGGAAACAACACGAGGTCACATTATATATTTTGCTATTTACTACATAATGAGAAAGAAGCCTTAAGTCGGGTAGAAAATGTAGCCTACTTGTTTTGCTCACCTGGCTTTGAAGGGAATTAGCAATTTCTCTCAAGCTTTTTTTCTTTATCGAGTGGTTGTGGTTTTGCTCAGATGATGCGTCAAACAGACATGGGGCTCCTGCCAAATTTCCACTAGTTTTTCCTTCATTTCTTGGGTCCAAATAAACTGAAAATGAGCGCTTTTAACTTCTCCCTTATACTCCCGCTGTCCACCGGGTACACACACTATTGAATGCTGCTCTCTCATTGGCTGTAGGTGATCGTTGATGTTATTGTCAATCAGAACACATTTCACACAACATGATTTGAATCGCCAACAGGTCCAGATATTTAGCATGCCAAATATCTGACAGGTGTCTGCGACTTATCTGCGATTCTTTCAGATCACGTCTTTGATAGTTCACACTGCGTGATTGTTCACGTGATGCCTGTGATTTCAGGCATTTGTCAGTGATTTCTCAAAACCTTTTGGCGAGTCAAAATCAGGGGCTAAAATCTTGCAGTTTGAACTCGGCTTAAGTAGACTTTAGTCGTAACAGCCGCATTTTTATTACAGCAAAAATAACAAGTCATACAAATTACATTTTTTTTATTAATTAAAAGTAAAAATTTTAATGACAACCAAAAATCACTGGAGGTGATTCAAAAATGACTTGGAGGAAGAAAAATAATAAAACTAAGAAATTCGCTGACCTTCAATGCTTGGAATAGACATTTTAAAATTCCATGATATTCTGGAAGTTTCATGACCTGTGGGAGCCCTAATATTCAGGATCTCATCTTTATTCAGATGTTAATTCAGTGATCTAAACATTAAAAAACATTTTTGAACCTTCTAAAGCCATTTTGTATTTAGGATTCTGATGAAAGTTTTAAAAAATAAAAATGGTAGTAAGGTTGGGCGATGTCGACCAATTTGGCATCGTACGATGTCTAATGTGAAACATCGCGATGGATGATGGCATCGTCATCGTAAGCTCGCTGTATTAATTATTTATGAATAATTATTTATTCCATAACAAATTAATTATTTGTAGCCTACTGTTTCAACTACCCGAACTGCATGCTATTTGTTTTACCCACAATCAAATCATAAATAAATAAATAAAAGTTACTCGCAAATTACCATATGTCCATCACTTTTTCCGCGGGTATGAATAGGCAGAGTGATCTGTGTCGTTATAATGGCATTGACAAACTTGGTTGGTAAAAAAGGTGCACAAGCATCAGCAACCAACCAACAGCATCCGAGAGTTTAGCTAAAATTACTAAGTACAATCGTAAAAGCGAAGGATTGAAGCAGTGTACTGACGTTAGATAGAGACAAGATGAACTAAATATCACGTTTCACAACTATAGTGAGATGCGATACATCCTTGATAAACTGTCCGACGCGCACTGCTCTCTGAGGTTTTGTGCTCAAAGCATCTGCTGACTGCTGGAGCTCAGACGCACGCATATGCTGCTGCAGCGCATGCATATCTTTTTTGTAACATTATAGATGTCTTTACACTTCTTTATTACTAAATGCAAAACTCTAAACAGTACACCCGTTAAAGAGATAATTTGCCCAAAAATGAAAAGTCATTATTTACTGTTCCTCACTCTGTTCCAAACCAGTTTAAATTTCTTTCTTCTGTTAACTCAAAGGAAGATATTCTCGAGTATGGTCGTGGGAAAAACATGACTTCCATGGTATTTTTGTTTCTACTATGGAAGTCAATGCTTGCTTTTCCCCCCAACATTCTTTTTTATTTTGTGTTCAACCTAAGAACGTTTTGTGAATGGTGAGGATAAACTATTTTATTTATTCATTTTGAGATAAACTATCCCTTTGTTTGACAATCCAGAGAGTGCATTTCTGTCTGACATGTACACTTGTGTTTTTCAGAATGTGAAGAAACGTGATCGAAAGTAGCTTTACTCATTTGAAAATGTTCACATTTTAATGTGATTAGTCACATTCTTCCTCCATAAGCCACTAATCTGATCTTCAGATCTTGTTGACCTTTCTGGTTAATCTCTGTTCTTATGTTTCTACCGACAAACAAAGCCCTCCCGTCAAGAAACACACTAAAAACACACACTGTGTAAGATTTACACCTTTTAATGCGGAAGGCAGTTTAAGGCTCTTTGATTTTGCTATAGTCTTATTTGGATTAAAGGTCTAAAAATTGCCCTTCATTTGGCTTCTGAAACTAAGTGATATTATTTATTATCATATACAAATAGAGCACGTTAGTATACACAAATTTAGAGTTTTGTATTAGTTTAAATGTTATAAGGCATAAACCAAAACAACCACCTATGAGGAGATCCAAAAAAAATGAACTTTGACCTAAAGTATAGCAAAAGTGTTTGTAAAGACCAGACAAAAAGGACAAAGATACAAGACTGCAAAATAAAGCTTGAAATCATTCATGAAGAACTACAATCCCATGAAGCATTGTGAATGAATTGTTGCTTGTGTTTATATTTACGCATTTTGAAGGAGACAAACTCGATGACATCATTTGCTGCTCTTTATTGGAGTAGGCGGAGTTAAAAATCTTAGTGCACTTATTTTACAACAACTCTCTGATTGGTGGACTTTTCTCTAGTGGTCATGGGTAATGCAGTTTTTCGCATATATATATAAAAATTATACCATTTAACATGAATTATACTATTAAACTTTAAAATGTACAATAATAAGTTGAATTATTTTGAACAGTGGGTTAAACTAATCATAAGCAATCGATTAACAGCCCCAGAGTCTTCTTATGAAGAAAAATAATGAGTTTTTACTTCCAGAATTTACTGTTTTCATTGCTGAATGTTGCACTGGTGAATTTTCACTTTTAAGTAATTGTACCACTTCTGTCTATCATCCGGTATTCTACACAGCATTGAAAAAGTACCTAAAATGCATCTGTATGGGTGTAATTCGTCCTTAGTTTGGAAATATCAGCAAATGCAAAATGAGTCATTAACAAAGAGCATAATGTTCATTGGGTGATTCTCTCATTGATGTGTTTGTCTTAGCAGAGGCAGGGTATCACCGGTAATTTCCACTTTGTGTTTTGGCTCGGTTCAGCGTGTTTGTCGGTCTTTTTTTGTTCTTCTCTTTGTTTTCCGTGTCTGATTTTAGTTTCATCCCTCACGAACCCTCAAGCGTACTCTCTGTTGAGGGACTATCCCAGCAGAAGACAGTTTCCCTTCTAGAGCTTCTCACACTTTCTCTTTCTGCACTTTCTCTTTTTGACCTTTTCACCAGAGTTTAACCAAAATAAAAGCTCTTAGGTTAAATTGTTTGTTATGAAAGAATAGGCTTCTCTTGTCGCATTTATTTTTCGATTGGAAGTGAATGTCCTTGGTACCTAAAGGTTATATGAAGTAATCTAATAAGAAAGTTTCAAAATGGCCATTCAAAAAGGTTCATTTGACCTTTGGCTGCCACTTTGCTTTCATTTTGAATATTTCTGAACTCCTAACTGTCAAGGCTATTCCTATGACCCAGTCTAACACCCACACACCAAGGACACACCAAGCTGACTTCAAAGAACTAATGGTGACAAAAGCTAACTATGTTTTAGCCTCGCATCAATTGCGTCTAGTCCATACCCGTCAACCCTCCCGTTTTTGCCGGGGTTCTTCCATATTTTACCAATCTACCCTGCTAAACCATCCCGTTTAAGTATTTTCCTGTATTTCTTCCATATTTTTAATATTTCTATGAAAAGTGAAAGTAGCATCAGTGAGTCAACCTTAAATGTCAATAATTGCAAGAGAATTAGGCTTTCACTTTATATTGGCCTGAAAGTACATTGAAATTTTATTAATTATTATTATTATTAAAACGGCTGCATTCACTATCTTTCTATTAGGTAATGCATCACCCTTCCTATGCAACCTTTGAATTAGTCCATTCATGTTTTACGCTGACTGACCTTGTTTTTAAACAGACAGATACACTTGATAATATGTAAACATGTCCATCCTGGCGTGTTTTACATTAAACACAAATAATTAAGTCTTAAATGAGCATATACAGTTATGAAAGTAATCAAATGCATCCCCTATTTTAACAACTCAATGGTGACCGGTATGGTCTGGTCTCATCTGGACCAAAAAGCTGTGCATGAATACACCAAACAGACAGCAGCCTACTGATTCAGAATGCACATCTGCACCTGCATGGGAAGATGTATCTTTCCAACCCTGCAGGTGGCAGTAGTGTGTTTTGTCATTTTATAAAGGGAAGCCAGAACTAGTGCTGCACGCATACAAACTGTAAGCAAAGCAGCGTTTACATACAATATTTCACAGTACTTTAAGCTCAACACAGAATGATTTGCTTATTCAAATTTCTGATAATGTGTTAAGAAATATTAGGGCTGCACAATATATTGTTTCATCGTTGATATCGCAATGTTTGCATTGGCAATAGTCAAATCGCAAGATATGTAATATTGAGTCCGAATTATGGTTGACCAGGAGCCACAGAACACATTTGATTTGTCGAGTTACTTCTAAGTTTAACCATAAAAGAGTGAAAGTTTATTATTTACAAAAGATTTAAGGCCTTTGACTAAGCATTTCAAGAGAGTTTATTAATAAAAATGTAGGATGATTAGATGTGTAGTAAAGATTAATTATTTATTTATGCAAAAAGAAAAAAAAAATGGGGGATTTTGTCATCTTTCTAGTCCAAATATCAAAATTTTAAAGTGAAAAAAAAGTATTTAAATTAGCCCATTGACAGATATTTTTGCTTGTTCGAAGAAAAACTCCTAACTTTGACTTATTTCTTCTCAAAACTAAAACAAAACAATTTTTTACTTGATCTACAAGAATTTTTAGATATTTGGATAAGAAACCAGGCAAAACAAAGAAAGAAAAGCATTATTTATGATTATTTATTTACTTTTCCTGAATACTGTAAGACTCCCTAGAAGAAAAGGTCAAATAGAGCTATTCAAACCATCTTGTAAACTGTATACATATCGCAGTTTTTGTCGCAGAAATATTAAGCATCACAATATCAGATGTTTCAATATCGTGCAGCCCTAATAAATGTTGTTTGCAAATATTTAAGGAGGTGGTCCAGAATTTAATTTGAAGACTTGGTTGTCTTTATATAATGCGAAGCAATGTGTGCTCATGCTTCATTTGTAGAAAATCACTTTACTCTCATATATTCTACTTTGATTATAAACAGCTTCTCAGCTAACCTGAAAACAACTGTCATATAGTTCCTCTGAAAGGCCCAGCCTCAAGAGGCTCTGATTGTTCAGCTAACGTAATGTGCTGTTATTTGCGGATTGGCTTTATGGCGCAGTCAGGCACACGCTTTTCTGCTGTATAAATACTGTCAGTCAGAGCAGCTGTTAACAGCGTTAGCTGCTTAAATCGGACAGAAAATGAAGAGCACACAGCTGAACTTCACGACTGCTCTCTTAAATAAAATAAAAAGTGTCTTTCACATATTTTCGGGTTATAAGCATGTGTAAGTACTATGAAATGTTCTCATATCTTTTGCGACACATGACAGATGCTCTCTGACACAGCCCAACTGTTGGCTTGATGTGTCCCAGCCTACTTTCCTTGCGTCTTTTCCCAGTAGCTTTTGCTTAATCTTTCCTTTTCTCTATCCTCCGTCTTTCAGAAGGTACTATCAAATAATCTCTCCTTTTCCACTGTCCTATCTTTTCTCTCCTCCTGTTGCTTTTCCCTTTCCCTCTCTACCTTCTTGACCCCTACACCCAATGCCAACAGTCCCTCATGTGCTGCTCAGCCACCTGAACAGCGAATCAGGTACCAGGAGATCAACCAGCAATTTAAGCCGCACCTTTAGCCTGCCATCTCCACTTCCCATGCTTTCTGTCTTATTGTCTGTTTGTCCCAATAACATATACATACAGATGTCTTTGTGTCTCTGCAACACTGCGTGTCAAGCATGGTAAATGGACATATCTTCAGTGTTTTAATATGATTATAAGCTGTCTGAGAGAATGTTTGTGCACACTATCCACTATCTGCAGATATGTCTTGTCTTCTTTTATTTATACCTAAACATGTCTTTACTTTGCATGCCTCATTTTGCATCGTCTGAAGTCGAATATTCATTTTGCTGCAACAGTAAAAATGAATTTGAGCTTGATCCTGGCCCTTGGATTTTCATGGGAGAATAATGACTGCTCTGTCTGATAGGGTGGTTTTAGAGATTTAATTGTTGGAGGAATGATTTACTGAGTGCTGCAGGAATGGCTTCAAAAGTTTTGGCATTGAGTCTTCCTAAAGTCAGTGGGTATTTTGGATGGGTTTTTTTTTTTAAAGCTTCTATTGTTAGTAGTAGTAGTAGTAGTAGAAGTAGCTGTAGTAGTATTAATGATTACAAAATCAAGTTCAAAGCTGACTATGGAATTCAGCTTAAAATATTTGAGATATTATCTCTCTAACCTATGAATCCTACATTTTTAGGCTTAAACAATAACCCACTATTTTGCATACTAAGTTTGCATGCACTGGAAGTGGCTGAGAATTTTCAGTATGTACTTCTAACTGAAAGGGGGTTGGATGCATCATTCTTTTCTATGCATCATTCCCTCCCAGTGAACTAGCAGTAAAAGAGGTGTGGTTAAGAATATTGTTGAAAGCCTTTAAACTGACCTCAACAGAGAGGGAACCGCCACTTCAAACGTAAAGCAAATGGTCAGATTTTGATTGAAGATTACCAAAACAAAGCTTCCAGTGGAGTTATTTTGGGTGGTTTAATTGTTCACCTGATGAATAACAATGTACGATTGCAAAATAAATTCTGCAGTTTTGATTTCACACAGACTGTAAATCAGGTGTTGAACGACTTTAGATTTTTGCAAGTCGACTATGTTATCAAAGTTGAGTCGACGTCGACTAGTCGCTGGGGATGTCATTGAAAACACAAGAGGCAAATGTTTTACAACATGCCACAATTTGTGATTTATTTGCAGGAAATATATACACACCAGTTGGTTGACAGTTTTTAACACGTTGCTAAAACAATGCAACATTACCTATGACTAGTTTTAGTGCAAAACAAATGCATTCAACACTTTTATTTTGCTAATAATGCAACATTAGCACCTGGGCTAATTTTACTGCTAAATAAATGCAGTCAACACATTTATCACTGCAGGTTAGTGAGAATGTAACAATAAAAGATATTTAAGTGCAGAAGTGATGTATACACAATCAGCACACAGATTCATGTCAAGTTATTTCATAACATAACCCACAAAGGACAAAGCCATAACGTTAAGCCTTATTACACTGTCAGATACTTGCTCAGACACATATTTTACGGCTGTGATGTGCGCGCTAGAAAGCTGCTCAAAATTGTGTTTTTGACATTTCGCTGCCCATCTTGGTTATCAGACGTCTCCTCGCTGCACATCTTCACTGCGTTCACCAGAGATAATGTTTACACACACCTTCACACTTCACGGTTTCTTCACACTTAATGGTTCATTCACAAAATATGTCAAAACTTATGCTTCGCAAAGGACAACAGCCAATCTTATGACTGTTTAATGATTTAAAGTTCACTTAAAATTTCCATGAGATTTTGACACTGACATAAGGAAATAACATTTTTAAGATTACTTTCATTAATCCGAGGGCAGTTTTATTCTGTGAACTATCATCATATGTAAAGCTGCATGTAGTTCAGGTCAAGCAATGTGATCTGCGTAGCACAACTAGAGCATTGAAGTCAACTAGTCAAAGCAACCCCTACTGTAAATACCAACAACAAACAAACATCTCTATAGATTTTAGTGCTTTTTCAATTTAATCATTAATTTAAATACAGTTTGAACAATGGTCAATCATCAAATGCACCCATTGTTATGTCAAAGCACACACACACACACACACACACACACACACACAAACAAGATCACACAATGTTGGTTCTGTGTGCTAATGTGAACAGTTTGTATGTGTATCATGAGTATATTTGACCGGTCTCTCGACATAAAGACCACACACTACTAAGATAACAACCAGGCAGTCGTTGGAAGCTGTTGGATGTCATTCAATTTTAGTTCAGTTACTTTATAGGCTTTAAAATTGATTATGATTTCCAGTGTCATATTGATGGACAAAATGTTCAATAATTCAAGAATCCAACTTTTGTTGGTAATTTTTTTATAAACCATTACTGCAGCACTCTCTTTAGACCCAGACATTTATTAGGGTGTTTAGATTCTCATCCCTATTTACACACTATCCATCCTGGGAGAATTTGTTCTGTAACGCATTGAAGTATTTGCTGGTACTTCGCATTGAAGTTTTTGAATAAAGTAACATTTCTTTATAGTGTATATGCAAAACATCAATGCTATTTCATAAGCTGAAATGTCTCTGAGTCGCTGATATTTTAGCTGGTGAATAAAAAACATAAAGCATGACCCAAATAGCCCAATTCCCACATGCAAATGACTCTTGTGAGCTTGTTAGTTTAATATAGTTCAGGATACCACAAGTTATTTATTTAAATATGAATCAGTCTGAATTGCTGCAACAGAGAGATTATTTTAACATTGTATAAACATAAATTTAGTATACCTGATAAATGATATATATTCAGTTCACTTTCTTTCTGCAAATCTGTACGTGGTGCATACACTATAGATGTATATAGATTAGGATTTAGCTGACCGTTCTGTCATTAAAGGAATAATTCACCCAAAAATAAAAATTGAATATAATTCATTCAACACAATGCGGTTTTATTGCCATATGCCCTGCTTTTTTATATCGTAAGATGCATCATAAAAAGAAAGCATTTCTGTACTCTTTTGGCAGCGAATATCAATCAGCATTGAATAATTTATAAAGAACAAAAATAACACTGAATAGTCCCGTGTGAAGTGTTTTATATTTCAGTTGTTTGGGGGATATATAATGGCCTTAAATGTAAAACTGTAATGTTTTATTTAACAAAAATGGTGACCTTGACCAGAAGTCTTCATGCATGACTGCTTTCACAAAACACTAATTATATACACTGCCGGTCAGAAGTTTGGAGTCAGTTATTTTTCATATATATATATATATATATATATATATATATATATATATATATATATATATATATATATATATATATATATATATATATATATAATTTGTTTATTTATTTATTTATTTATTTTTAGAAAATTATTCTGTTCATCAAGGTGGCATTTAATAAATATAATTAAATGTAAAATGTGTTAAATTGTCAAATATTTATTTCAATTTTAAATAACTGCTTTCTTATTTTATTGCTTTTATCACTATTACCTATATTATTAATGATAAAAATAATAATCATTAATATAGTGATATCTTTGGAGGATAATGTGACTCTGAAGACTGGAGTAATGAAGCTGAAAATTCATCTTTAAAATCACTGGAGTAAATGATTAAATTAAATGATAAACAACTTTTAAACAGTTATTTTATGGTGCAATAACATTCCACAACAAGTTTTACTGTATTTTTGATTACATAAATGCAGCCTTGGTGAGCAGGATAGGCTTATTTTAAAAACATTTTAAAAATCCTACTAACCCCAAAGTTTTGACCGGTTGTGTATTTAGAATTGTAGTATTTTCTTCTGAGTTAAATGTTTCTGTTGTGTTTCACCCTCACTCGTCAACCGGCATTCTGACTTTTGTGAAAACCAGTGTTGGTACAGAAATATTAGATTAAATTTAGATTAAATTAAATCTAATAAAAAGTAACTGGTGTTCAATTTTGTGTTGCCTTTGTTTGAAAATGATTTGAAAAATAAGTTGTGTTTTTTATTCCACTACTACACTGACGGTGATTGCTAAATTCACTGTTTGATTAGATTGATTACACAAGCTAGATTCACTGGTTAAATGGGCTAGTAGCACACTGAGTGCATCTGTTGATTTCAAGGGATCTTAAAGGAATAGTTCACCCCAAAAATGAAAATTTACTATTTACTTTGCCCTGAGTGGTTCCAATCCTTTATGAGTTTCTGTTTTTTTTTTTTTTTTTTTTTTTTTTTGGACCCGTTGGAATATATTTTAAACAAAGCTAAAATCTGTATCCATTGACTTCAATAAGGAAAACAAATACTATGGATGTCAATGGTTGGAAGGTTTCTTCAAAATATCTTCTTTCGTTTTCAATGGAAGAAACTCTATAATGGTGTGTAAAAAGTAAATAATGACAGAATTTTCATTTTTGGGTGATCTTTCTCTTTAAGAGTATCATGAATATATAGTGCAAACACTATCATCTACCCAAAGAACACCTGAAATATATAAAATGTCACTTAGTATAGCATTGTTTTATACTTTTGCATCTTAAAAAAGCTGGCCACTATTCAGTACTATTATACGGGATATTTCAAATACGGGATATTTAAAAGAGCAAATGGCATGAAAAAAAAGCATCAGGGTTCATAAATAATGATTGAATTTCATTTTTGGGTGAACTATCCCTTTAACCTCACGTTCTCACTGTCCAGTTGATCAGTCAGCACTCTGAGGAAACTCATTATTCTCCCCTTCCTGGATCTCCCAAAGTGTGGATCTGAATGCTGAGAGTGCAGAACTGAAGCACTCAGGATCCTCCAACAGTCATACCTCAGTCAAAAACAGCACCATCAAGCCAAAACATGCATTCACACCTCCATTGGGTTTCTTTCTTCTCTCCCTCAGTGCCCACTGCCAGCATGACCCGATTGGCACGCTCTCGCACTCACTCTGCCTCCAGCATGGGCTCAGGGGACGGTTCGCGCAGCCGCACACAGACCAGTTCACAGATGGAGGGCGCCACTGGCGGCCCCGCCCTCGACAACCAGAACAGAACCATGGAGGTGTCCTGCTAAACCTCCCAGAACCAAGCCCCCATTTTATTTGGGATCATTGGTGTGTGTGTGACCCTTTTTTGTTCCCCCCCACTCTGTCGTCTCATTCTCTCGTGGCCAGAGAGTGCTGGTCTAATGAAGGGATGCATTGTTTGATGTCTAGTAATCCATGTATTTAACATGTTGGAATATTTCTCCACTGCATGGACGCACACTAATCTTCTGTTGATGTTTTTAATCTTGATTGGCTTTCTACTTTCTTACTCCATTCTTTTATAAACACTCCCCGATACGCTTTTTCGTGTATATTTTTTGGTGGCGGCTGCTGTATATTGAACATTCAGAGGGTATTCTCGTGTGTAGCGGGAGAGTTTTTGTTCCCTCTCTTGCTCTATCTAAGGTCTTCCTGCCCCTTGTGTTTACTAGAGACGACCAAACCACTTCAATTCCTTCCCGTCATCGAATGTTTCTTTCACTGCTTCGTTTTCTGTGCATTTTAAATGGTTTCTACTGCTCTTGCTGGATGGCAGCAGCTGGTTGGATTTGATTTGTAATTGAATTCAATCAGTTGTAGTGTTTCCAGAGCAGAGCTACTGATTAGCATGTCTCGGTTTAAAGTGTACTATAAACATTTGTGTTAGTATTAATTGTTTAGACCTTTCTGCAAATGGTTTACATGGAGAACTGTATTGAGGTTTTGACCTGAAGTCAAAACTTATTAAACCCCTTATTAGGAAAATCTTTCGTTTAGGTTTGCACTTAATAATTTTCACAACCTATTATTGGGAAATATCTGCTACACCAAAACAAGCCTTTAGCTGAAGTGAAGTAGTAATATTTACCATCTCTAGGTGTAAGTCAGCACGATTTTGGCTTGACGTTCTCCATTATTTCTGTACAGCGAGCTGATATCCAATTCACCTCATTATTTCGTCAACTCTGTTCGTTTTTATCGTTATTCTTTTGATTTCATTGGATGGCAATTCCCTGTTAATTGCTGATTGTACCGCTGCCTTGAGTGAGTTTGTGATGATGCGTTGTGGTTTGTCCTCCAAGCATTTAGGGGGCGTTGTACTGCATACTGTCTGCTGAATATATATTAATTTGTACGAAATATTGAAATAAAGTAGTTGTACATAAAACTTAAGTGTGTCTGGGATGTCATTATTACATCATTTTACAATTGCTAATACAGTGTCTAACTACATGTCATACCACATGTGCTAACAAGTGTTTTTCCTAACCATCTGTGACAGAGATGATTGTAGAAACCATTTCTATTTCCGCAACATCGCACCAAAACAGCACCATAAACCAGTATTTCTCAACCACGTTCCTGGAGGATCACCAGCACTGCATGTTTTGGATGTCTCCTTTGTCTTTTACATCCATTACAGGTCTTCTAGTCTCTGCTAATAAGCTTATGATCTGAATCAGGTGTGTTTTTAGGTGTGCAAGAATCTGAATCAGGTGTGCAATTTAATAACGCATGCCAAATGGAAAAAAAAAAAAAAAAAAACTTTGCGGTGTGCGTGTGCGGACCTTTACTTGACAGCTGCATATGTCGATCTTGTCAGAAAAAATGCCGAAAAGTTCTACATGATTGTTTTTATTGATCGCGGTGTTTACTTAATTAATGCCTCTAATACATGCATACTCAACGTCTTAATTTCATTTCAGTTTAGTTCAGTTATGACTTTAGTCGGATATATATATAGGCTATATATGAAGGACAACAATTTTATAAAGAAACTAATATTAAGAAAGCATTTTGTCACTGACTGACAAAGAATAAAAAATGACTTTAACACTGTAAACCCTGAGTGGAATAATCAGGAGATGGATCAGGGCAGAGCAGTAGCCTCACTAGAATATACTCATAAAACATTATTTTCTGGGTTAAACTAAAATTGCTTCAGCAACCATATGTCAACAAATTGTAAAATACACACACTTTACATTTGTTGTTGTCGTAAGCTTTTATTTTATTACCAAAACAAATGTATTTTTTTTCAACCCTCCCTCCTCTTCCAAATTCAAGATACAGTTAAAAGATATGATAAAAATGTAATCAATTCATTTATAAATAAAGTATAATGAATAAACTAAGTAATTTATTTGGTAATTCAAGCATTTTATATATGCACACAATCCATACACAGCCATAGATGTGTAGAAATATGGGTAAACTATTGATCTTATTCTAAAATGCGGAAGTGCGCCTGTTTTCGCGATTGTCTTAGAACTTCCGATTCAGTCGCCTGTGGAAGAAATGACTAGGAATAATAAACGGCAGAAAACGGTCAAACTACTTGGTCTACAAACAAATGTTTGCATGACTATACAGACCAAGTAGAATAATATATTAAGAAAATATCAAATTGCAACATCAAGCAGCGTAATGAGCAGTTTTTAACGTCAAAAAATGAACGGAAGTGAATGAGACCGGAAGTCTCAAGCCAAAAAGATTCAAATGGCAGCGCCCGCTCGTCGGCGGAGAATAAGGTGAATAGTTTGAGTACCAATTCCCACTAATAACTACTGGCTTATTATCTTCATTCTGTTATGATATTGGCTATTCATTAGTACTCTTAAAGTATGATCTCATTCTACAGCCATAAAATCTTAGTTATTGGTTTGTTGTTTACAGGAATTACAAATTAGTGTGACCACAATATGTATACTTATTAATAAAACTAATTGTGAAATAATAATTGTATTTATTATGTAGTATATTCTTCTGAAGGTTATATCACAAATGTTTCCCAAACCCAGTTGGTTATGTCTAAACATATCTCATTTGAAAAATAAATTGTTTGTATTAAATCAGTGTTAAAATGAAAGCAGCATAATTTACAGCAGTGTCTCTCAACCACGTTCCTGAAGAACCACCAATCTTCTTAACCAAACACACCTGATTCAGATCATCAGCGCATTAGCAGAAACTGAAAGACCTGTAATGAATGTATCAGACAAAGGAGACAAATCAAAAACATGCAGTGCTGGTGGTTCTTCTGGAACATAGTTGAGAAACACTGATTTACAGAATTACGTTCTCTGATTGTGTAAATTACAGAAGAAACAAACTCATGGCTCTTCTTTGAATTTTTTTAGTAGCTTTATAGGAATGCTTCTTTGTTGAATGCAGTGCTGCTTACTGATCTACACTAATACAACAGAGCGTCAGCAGTGATTGGCCTGGCTTGTGATATCACACTTGGAGGAATTCTGAACCACACATTTTTACAGACTGCTTGTGATTTATGGCGATCATAAACAGAGGTGAGTGTTTTTTTTTTTTTTTTTTTTTACCATTGTAAGCTGTTTACATACTGTAAGTACAATATGCTTGTGATTATAAAACTGAATCTTGCATAGGACTGACATTTCCACAATTGGTCATGGTCAAGTGAAACGAAATGTTTTTAAAAACCTTGACTAACACCATAATTGGACCTCAAGAAAAAATGTCTCAAGTGACCCATATGATTTGAAAACACTGCTTCATGTGCTAGTAATAACATGCACTACTATATGTGACAGTGAAGCTTTTTCTGTCATCTCAGCCAGCTGTAAAACTTTCCCTTCACACTCAAGATTTCAGCTTTTATTGATTGTACATATGTGGTCAGAGATGACACATTTAGATGCTATTTATAGAAACTGAGGTACAACACACTTGAGACATTGACCACATTCGATAAGTGATCTGTGCTCAGTCGTCTTCCCGTCTCATGTGCTTGATAGGAGAGATACTGCTTTTATGTCATTTTTGCTTACTGTTATAGATTTTTTTTATTTGCTGGTTTGAAATTGATGTTTGTTGAACTCTGGTAACCTGTCATCCCACTATCACTATAATTATCTCAGTGGGTTTGTCATGGCAACAAACATCGGAACGTCTTCAGTAGCATCGATTAACATTTAGTATGAAGTGACGCTCAGTTTATATGGTGCAAATGAGACACTGATGATAAACTCCTGATATAATCACTGAAGCTGCAAAATCTTGTAAAATACTCTATACACCAACAAACACATGAAAAGCAAACTCATATAATACATCAAATACATCTAATTATTGCACAAATGCTACTTAAACATTTCTATGAAATGATTGCTCATACATACAAACTCTTGCACCTATGAAGTGATCGTGTGTAGATACACTGTTAATATTTTTCTGTAGAATTTACAGTAACTTACTAGCAACAATTCGCCAGTAACCTACGATAAATCAATTACAGCATATATATATATATATATATATATATATATATATATATATATATATATATATATATATATATATATTTATATATATATATAGTAATTTTCACACTGCAAGTTAAAATACAGTAACATATCTGTCCTACAGTAAAATACGGTTTACATTACAATGAAATGCTGTGTCATTTATTAAGTGTATAGGCCTTTACATGACTGATTGCATATACATCTAAACTTGTAGTTTCAAATTAAATTAATACTCCAGTAATTATTACTTCTATTACCAATACCATTAATAATAAAATTAGTAATAATGATGATTGAAATGAATAATTTAAAATGAAACGAACAAGATGTGCTTTAACTGCAGACTGTCAGCTTTAATTTGAGGGCATTAACATTCAAATCAGGTGAATGCTATTGCAATTACAACAGTTTGCGGATGTGCCTCCCACTTGTTAAGGGTCCAAAAGTAATTTGTAAAGAATAATAATCATAAATCAAACTTTCACTTTGTAATTCTTGGTTGCAAATTCTTTGCAGTGAATTACAGCCTGAAGTCTGGAACGCATAGACATCATCAGACGCTTGTTTCATTCCTGGTGATGCTCTGCCAGGCCTCTACAGCAATGGTCTTCAGTTCCTGCTTGTTCTTGGGGCATTTCCCCTTCAGTTTTGTCTTCAGCATATGAAATGCATGCTTAATCGGATTTAGGTCAGGTGACTGATTTGGCCTTTCATAATATTTCACTTTATTCCCTTCAAAAACTCTTTGTTTGCTTTTGCAGTATGCTTTGGGTCATTCTCCATCTGCACTGTGAAGCGTCGTCCAATGATTTCTGAAGCATTTGGCTGAATATGAGCAGATAATATTGCATGAAACACTTCAGAATTAATCCTGCTGCTTTTGCCAGCAGTCACATCATCAATTAATACAAGAGAACCAGTTTCATTGACAGCCATACATGCCAACGCCACTACTACCACCATGCTTCACTGCTTAGGATCATGAGCAGTTCCTTTCTTCTTCCATACTCTTCTCTTTCCATCACTCTGGTACAAGTTGATCTTGATCTCATCTGTCTATAGGATGATGTTCGAGCATTGTGAAGGCCTTCATGTTTTTGAGGCTCACCAATGGTTTACATTAATGGTGAACCCTCTGTATTCATCTTGTTGTAGTCTTCTCTTGATTGTTGACTCTGACACATACAGTTCGCCTATCTCCTGGAGAGTGTTCTTGATCTGGCAAAATATTGTGAAGGGGGTTTTCTTCACCAGGAAAATAATTATTTGGTCGTCCACCACAGATGTTTCTGTGGTCTCCCGGATCTTTTGGTGTTGCTGAGCTCAATGGTGCGTTTTTTTCTTTTTAAATGTTCCCAACAGTTTTTTTGGCCACACGTAATGAGTTTTTGTTTTTTAGCCTAATGATGGATTGCTTGACGGCTCTTTGGATCCGTTGAGAGTTGATAGTAACAGATTCCAAATGCAAATAGCACACTTGAAATGAACTCTGGACCTTTGATCTGCTCATTGTAATTGGGATAATGAGGGAATTACACACACCTGGCCATGGAACATCTTGGAAGCCAATTGTCCAATTACTTTTGGACCCTTAACAAGTGGGAGGCATATATGCAAACTGTTGGAATTCCTACAGCCTTCACTTGATTTGGATGTAAATACCCTCAAATTAAAGCTGACAGTCTGCAGTTAAAGCACATCCTGTTCATTTCATTTCAAATCCACCATTGTGTTGGTGTATAGAGCCATACTATAATAAACAAAAACAGAAGGCTTTAAATGAGTTGCATAACAATCCAAAACTACACACAGAAGCTATTTAAAGAGAAAAACCTGAAAATGTCTTGGAAAAATAACAACTGAATAATATATTTAGATGTGGTGACTGTAGTAGCTGAACAATCATCTCCAGTCTATTTAACTATTTGCTTCATGTCATGGGTGCATCACCATCTCAGAAGCACATTCATTTTACAATTATAAAACGGCCTGTCATCAATTATTTTTTTGCATATGAACTGAATAGCTTGTGCCTAAATACACCACAACGATAAGATCTCAGAATTAACCACAAACCAAATTAAAACAAACATAACTGTCCTCCTCGTGTCGTGCTAATGACGGAGTTTAAGGGTAGATCAACTAGTTCTGCCAACATCATTTGTCAACATTCTGTTTTATTGTTGAATATGAAATTTAACTGATATAATAAAAGCAAGGCATATGTTGCCATCAAGGGCATATATTTGCACTTTACATGAGTGGGGACGGGTGAACACAAAAAAAATACTCACTTCATAAAATGTATTAAGTTAAATTAAATAGTCAGGGGGGTTAAAAGACCAAAAGTTGGATTATTATTATTATTATTATTATGTTTGAATTTTTCTTATTATTTAAATGGTCAACTTCTGACTAAGGAAATGCTGGCCAGTCAACAAGTTACTCTGAGAGATTAAGAGAACTGGCATGGGTCAAATACTTTTACATGTAGCTGTTTATTCTGCAGTTTTCAGGGCATATTATTCACCGACTGTATCAGTCTGTTATAACGTTAGACTGTGCATTAAAGCGAGAAAAATCATGAGCATTAACGCCGTTATCGTGATGGACTCATTTAGTAGCGATCTTGGGCTTATGTGACTTAGACTCTTCAGGGAAAAATTTTGCCGCTGCCTTCCTCAGTTGTGTGTCACTCCACACACACCTTATTCTTGTTTTGGCACTCGCTGCTTGTATCTGAATGCACCTACAGCCTCTCACATGACGGCAGGGATAGGCGCAGCCAATCACAATGTTCATATGTGTTTGAGGGGAGGGTCGACTCAGAGAGAACATGATTTAACCCTTTCTGCATGTCTAGGTTAAAAAAAATTTTTATTCAAAGTTTATTAAATTATTGGTGGGGACATTTTATTAGTTGGCAGATATTGCTGGGAACGTGTCCCCTCTGTCCATGCTATATCTATGCCCTTAGTTGCCATCTTTAGTTTTTATGATCTCTGAGGGAGCAATCCCTCAAACCAATTTTATTCTTTTTTTTTTTCTTCCGCTTAGTCTCTGACTTATCAGAGGTCACCACAGTGGAATGACTATTCCAGCATATGTTTTACATAGGGGATTCCATTTCAGCTGTAATTTAGTTCTGGGAAACACCCATACACACTCAGATTCACACACACACACACTCATACACTAAAGCCAGTTTAGTGTATTCAATTCACTCGCATGTCTTTGGACTGTGGAGTAAACCAGAGCACCTAGAGGAAACCCTCGCCAACACGGGGAGAACATGCAAACTCCACACAGAAATACCAACTGACCAAACCGGGACTTGAACCAGCGACCTTCTTGTTGTGAGGCGACAGTGCCAACCACTGAGCCACCATGCCGCCTTTCAAAAAGTATATATTTTTTTATTTTAATTTTATGAGAGATGCATTTTTGACCCTTAAAATAAAACATAAAAGTATGATAGAGCCGCATTAATGTGCTAAAACCCAGCTTTAAAAATTGTGCATCCATCATGTCTCAGAATGTGATCGTTTTGTTTTTCCCAGACAGGGTTTAAAATATTAATGACTGCTCATTATTTGTCGTTATTTGTTTAGCATCTATAACAGGTGAGTATCTGAATCCAAATCTGATCATTCAGTTTCCATGGCAGTTATTACCATGGCGATCTTCCTTGATTCATTTGGAAACCTCATTTGATTTGGAATTTCAGGTTGTTTTGTTTTGAATCTGCCTCTTCTCTTGCCGTCAATCAGCCCTTGACATCATGACATTCAAAAGCTTTCCCTCTGCTGACATCTGTGTTGTGTATTAGAGGACCTCAAAACATTTTCACAACACCTTTCTGCCTGCGCTCACTTTCAGACATCTGTGCGTCAGCAAAGGAGAGACAGTTAGACCTGTTCGTCACAGGAAACTGCAAGTGTGCAGTAAATAAAGCCGCCTGCCTCCAGCGTGCACGCTAAAACACAGAGAGCACAGCAGCATCAACATCATCCTTCACCTCAGTCTAAGAACATCAGCTAACCATAACCCTAACCTTGGGGGTGAAATTGCTCTCAGTATCTCAGTTTTCAGATGTGCATGTGAGGAGCTCTGTTTGCTCGTGCAGAAAGGATTATCATCAATTCCACTCTGAGGACCATGATGTGAGTGCCATACTTTGTTTTGTGAAATGTGATTTAACACAATTCTTGAGTTGTGTTTAGTTTACTTAAATTTGTAAAAAGATTTAAGTTAACTTAATCGATTTGTGTCGACAGCAAGTAGGAATTGTGTGGAACCCAGCTTTTTTTACAGTGGATAATTGATGTTAAGTGTTTCAAAGATCGTGTGCTGAATATTTGTATATACTTGACCTAAAAAAAAATAATATTTGAGCCTTTTCATAGTGAATATAGGCAATGTGTTATGGTGCATTTAAACAAAACAGACTTATTAAAGGTATTTAAGGATTTATTTATTAAAATATTATTTTAGTCACCAAACATCTTTAGAAACAGAAACAATGATGTTTAAATTAATGCAAAATATTGCAAAAAGTAAATACAAACTTCAAAATTGCAACTGAATGTCGTATTTTTTTTGTTTCTCTTGATTTTTGCTCTTTTAAAAAAAAAAGGTTTGTTTATATATTTATAAATGTATATATAAAGTCTCTAAGATATAAATTTAGGCTACTCTGTGTTAGACCGCTATCGCAAGTTATTTTGTTAGATAAGCTCCAGATTTTTCTTTAGTACAGACTAATCTAATGTATATTCACAAATATAGTATCATATAGCACCCAATAGGAAATATTAATTTAAATGAGACTTTTATCCCAATAATACAGTCACAGTCACTTTATTATTGGGAAAATGAACGTATGATTCCATCAAAGTTCTGAGGTGTTTTGTCACATTTGGTCTTCAGTATACTCAGAAATTTGTTTTTGTCTTTCTAATTTTGGATTATAATCTTTGTTTTTATTTCTGTTTTTACTCTTAAGCATTTACTTGCATTTACAAGGTACCAGTACCATAAAAATTACACACAAACCCCCCTCCAAAACATTTTTGGTTGAGAGAAAACTGGGAATGAACACTTTATATAATAAACTAATTACTAAACAAAAAGGGGGACACATGTCTGTGTGTGTCATGTAAACATGAGAAGTTCTGAACTTCAAAGTTGTAACCTTGAATCAAAGTCAGGATCGTCTTGAAAAGCGTGCTGCTCTTGCACAGAAGTCTTCCTTCAAGGGAGTTTTAAAGAAACGTGTGGCTTTGTGTGCCATTTTGAAATCTGTGTCTGTCAGTGTGATAACAACATAATCGTTTCAAGTTTCAAAGTATTGATCAATCATTTTTTGCAATGATTTTTATCTTTATCTTTGATTGATGTCCTCTAAAACTTAGCTTTCTTTAGGCCAGGGTTGCCCAAACTCGGTATTGGAGGGCCGGTGTCCTGCAAAGTTTAGTTCCAATCCCAGTTAGACACACATGAAGCAGCTAATTAGGTTCGTTCTAGGTATACTACACTCTCAGAAATCAAGAGCTGTCACTGGGGTGGTGTCTTTTCAAAATGTACATATTTGTACTTAAAGGGTTCATATTGGTACCTCAAAGGTATATCTTAGTACCTAAAAATTCACACTTTTGTACTTTTTAGGTATTGATATGTACATTTGGGGTATTAATAAGGACCCGTTTGTCACAAATGTATATCTTTTGAAAAGGTACCAACCCAGCGACAGCTCTTGTACCTTTATATCTGAAAGTGTAGAAACTTCAAGCAGGTGTATCGAAGGAAGTTGGAACTAAACTATGCAGGACACCGGCCCTCCAGGACCAAGTTTGGCCATCTCTGCTTTAGACTATAGTCACTCAGTTTCACATTCGGTTTCTGTTAAAGTCCCTGTATTTCTATTAAATAAATTCTGCTGATTATTTTTCTAAACATTTTGCTGACTTCATTTTAGGGCTGAGAATTGAAATGTGTTCAGCAGAATAGTGTCACAGCAGTTGGAGCTCGAACCTTCTTGCCATGAGGCGACAGTGCCAACCACCGAGGCCACCATTTTGCCCTAATTCAATATTATTTACCAACATTTTAGTCCTCTTTGTTGCACATTTGAAACAAAACCTCTAGGCTTAAAAGAAAGCCATAACAAGCCCTATCTACAACAGGACGTTAGTAGCCTTGCTCTTATATTTGACTAAAATCTAGATATGATGTTAAACATTCATAAAAAATTGAGAAATTATCTATTTTTGAATGCGTATGTTACTTTGAACCCTTTAAGGGGCACACCTTGAAAAAATCTTTTTTGGCCCACATCTTGTATTAAATAATACACTGGCACCCCTCTGATAAATAGTAATACGCAATTAAACTAATAATGATAACCTATGAGTAAAAGGTCAGCCAGGTGGTTATTATGCCTGACAAAGGGTTAACAGCTTTCTACTTTCATATTTAAAGTTTAATTCAATGTGCTTTCTTTGTAATGTTCTGTATATGTTGTACTCCATGATAGCTGTCTTCATATGTAATCAGTTACATTTGTGTTGTGGTGTGGTGGGTATGAGGTCTGTAATTTGGACCTGGTGGCCCTGATGACCCAGTGAGAGACCCATCTGTGCCACCAGTTGACCATCTGCTCTGTAATGCCACATAGCTGTAGCATCAGTGCCTTTGTTTTGCAATATGGAGAAATATTACTCTCAGAGCTCAGTATTGCGTGCTAATATAGCTATCGGGTCATGAGGATGTTGAAATCATAACACCGGAGACATTTTGTGCGTTCGTTATTTGCAGGGATTGAATTGAAGAGTTTAGATGCATAAAAACTCTTAATGCCGTCTGAAATTTTCCCCTAAAATGAGCATTTTTATCAGGCTCCTATGTGTATGTTTAGTAATATCACTTTTATTATTTATTTTCGATGGAAATCTCAGACGGCACTTAAGTTTTTGCATCTGAACTCTTCAATTATAGTTCCATTACAATGTAGTAAACTATGTAATAACATACAACAGTATCAGCGCAAGGGGAGAAAAGCATTTGTGTTTGTTATCACGTCTTTTAAAGGCTTTACAGTGATTGTTTTTCACACCAACGCTGTGGGAAGGCAGTGGAAGATTAAAGATTAAGTCAAAGGCAAGGCATTAATTATATATATATATATATATATATATATATATATATATATATATATATATATATATATATATATATAATTTATATTTTTTTGTAAATTGTTGTTACATTAGCAAATTAATTTTATGCGCAAAACTGGATTATCGCATAAAAGATATGTGAATAAAGCAGCGTTTCCATCTGACGAGTCAAAAGCGAACGAGTTAAAAGTGAACAAAATCGTCACTTCCTGATTAACTGCCATCAAATATCAGCAGTATAAATGGAATTTGCTGCAGGAGAAGCTGCGTGAATCTGTTCATTTAATGAATGACTTGCACCTCAGAAGACTATGAATACACGCAATAAACATGTGTTTGGTTCAGTAAAAGTGTTTCCATCGCAGTTTAAGCTTCTTATCCAATCTTATCTTATCCAATAAAAGTTTGTCCCACTCAGTTGTGCGTGTACGTTTTTAATGCACATTTTCTAAATGTATGCACATCTTGGCGTTTCCATCAAACCATTTTTTAATGTGCATCTCCAAAATGTGCAAAAAATAGTTGATAGAAACGTAGCTATTGTCATTCTGCAAAATATATTTATTTAGAAATAAAGCAACAGGTATTTTGTCTTTTACATATTAAAATATATATTATAAAATGTCATATTTCCAAAAATTATAACCTTTTGGTGAAAAATGGGTATATTTGAAAGATTGTGATAAAAGTATAAAGACTAGAAAAAAACAGGTAATTAGTTTTTATGTGCATCGTTTAATATGTTGATACATTTTTCCTTTTTATTTTATAAAAAAATATACTGGTTCAGGAAAAAAGAAGATTTAACTAAGCATTTATTAAATTTATTTAATTAATTAAAAAATTCTAAATTTACCAGACATTAAAAGATTAATTTAAACATTTGTTTGATTCATTTATTATTTATCTTATTATTTATTACAATAGTAATTACAACTGGCTCAGAAAAAAAAGCAAAATACAGTCAGAACTATTACCCCCTCTGCAGAATTACTATTATATTTTCAAATATTTAAGAAAGAAAAAAATCAAAAGGGTCAGAATTAATAGTCCAAATAAAAAATATTGCTGTCATCATGGCAAAGATAAAATAGATCAGATATTAGAGATGAGTTGTTAAAAAATGTTTAACACATGTTTGAGCAGAATGTTTCATGCAAATGTTGTTTACTTAAACAGGGCCTATAAAACTGTGATGTAACTGATTGTGACTAAAAACAGCAGAATGTTCTCAGCATTAAAGCAGATCTATTTTTAGATCGGCCACCCCATTTCTTCTTCTTTTTTTTTTTTGGGCCATGTCTGTGATAATGAAAGTGTGGATGGAAAGTTTTCATCTTAGTACACAAGTGGTTTATCGACATCCTGCCACTTTGTTCAAAGAGTTGCATAAAGAAGCCATGGCTTGATAACTCACGAACATCAGATTTAATTTAATTTATTTATGTATATGTATTTTATTTTAATTTATTAAATCTCTTATTACTTTATTTATTTGTTTATTTTCAGGTTCAGTTCAATATAATAAAGTTTGTATTTATTTATTTTGCTTGTTTATTAATGTTTTTTTATGTTGGTTTATTTATTTATATATTTAATATATTTAAATATTGTATTTGAGTTATTTAATTTGAATGTATTTAAATGTCATTTTCTATTATTTCATTTGTTTAGTCATTGGTTTGTTTGTTCTCTCTGGCTCTCTTCTTTCAAATTATGGTATTTTAATTACATGTTTATATTTATTTATTAAAATTTTATTTGTTTCATTGTATTCATTTATTTTAATCTTTATTTTATTTGAATTTTTTTTTATTTGAATGTAATATTTTATTTGTTAATTCATTTGTTTGTTCTCTCTTCTGCCTTCAGATTGTTTTTTATTAGGTCAATTGGTCATTTAATTTTATTTATTTTTAAATGTGTTTTATTTAAATTGTTTATTTATAAAAATATTTGTTGTTAAATGTTTTTATTAATTTGTATATTTTTGTTTTCTTTACATTTGTTTATTTGTTTTAATTTATTTCTTAACTTAATTAACTTTAATTCATTAAAATGTAATATTCTATTTATTAATTCATTTATTTGTTTCTTTGTTCTCTCTCTTCTGCCTTCAGATTGTTTTTAATTATTAGGGTAATTAAATGTCTATTTATTAATTTTATTTTTTTTAATTAAATAGTATATATTTATTAAAACTGTTTATTGTTTAATTTGTATTAATTTATTCGTTTTAAAGTTTATTTACATTTGTTTATTTATTTCAATGTATTTATTTGTTAATCCATTTAACTGTAATATTTTGTTATTAATTCATTTATTTGTTTATTTATTAATTTGTTGTCTCTCTCTTCTGCCTTCAGATTGTGGTCCCCATCATCTCTGTGCAGGTAAACACTGTAGATCAGTATGGGCAGTCGGCCCAGTAAAGACCGGCGTGGATCCAATGCCCATGCTGTCCTGTTGGACACAGAGGACAGCAACGGCCCGCTGACCATGGGTGAGTACAGACACGCATCACTTTATACATGAACAACAGAAAAGCTGCTGTAAGAGAACATACGGTATGGTTTTACTACGAAAGCATTCAGTGGGTCTTCGCCCCAAAAATAAATATTTAGTTGCGATTTACTCTACTTATTTTAGTGGTTTTTTTTCTGTTGAACACAAAAGAAGATATTTTGAAGAATGTTGGAAATTGGTAACATTTTACCTTACAGTTGGAAAAAATGCAGTGGATGTAGAAAGTACATGTGCAATGTCTAAAATCAGAACAAAACGACAAGCTTTTAACAAACATGAAATGAATGAACAAATAAATGAATGCAGGGGGGATTTTTTTGTGGACTCGTGAGTTTTTCAGCATAGCCTGACACAGTAAAAAATGAAAAACATACACAGAAAACACACATAAACATATGCATTACTGATTAGTGTTCAACAAGTCTAACTGACACTGGAATAAGGGAGTTTTGAGCCTACTCCACTTGCATTGAGACATTCCGTGTCTTCTGACTGAGGGTAAGAGATCATACCATGGGAAGAGTACATGAGACAGATCGCTCAAAATTATTTTCGCTTCATTTACAGTGCATTGCTCGTATCTATAGTCTAAGTGCTGGTAAAGATTTTTAGTCCTATAAGCTTTATGGCAAATCTGATAGTTTTGATTTCAAATTTACAGAAAGATTGGCATACCATGTGGATACACCATACCTGATAACACTCTCACAATACAGACTGATGAAAAAGATACAAGATTTGTTTAATTAACACCATAAAAACCATAATCCACGCAAAAAATAAAGCCTATAATGGAGTTTTTTAATAGATCCAATTGACATGGGTGTCCCATGTAAGAAACTTACCTTGTTTACTGTTTTCCACCATAAAATCCCCAAAAATAAAATAAAAATGAATTTATGTGATTACACACTGAATACTTGCATTTGACCTCTATCAAATAGATTAAAATGATAAAACACACTTTTTAGTCACAAACCTCATAGATGTTTGCAGTAAAATTGTGTCAAATATGATGTTAAACTATTATGTCTACAGTCAATGTACAGGTAACTTTAAATAATGAGTTCATGTATTTACTTTATTAATAATCAGACATCAACTGTTTACATGTAACATTAGTGAATGCACTCAGTTAACAAGAACAAACTATGAACCACTTTACTTCCGTTACCGAACATCAACAAAGAATAATTAATACTGTGTAAATGTATTGTTGATGTTAGTAAATGCATCATCTTCCATGAGTTAATGTTAGTTATGGGGTTACCAATTGTCTGTGTAATCTTTATCTTAAATAAATGTTGAGATACCAATAGCTAATATGACTGACTGAAGTTGTGTGTGTGTATGTGTGTGTGTGTGTTTGTGTGTAGAAAGTATCAGATATGTGCTGGTGTCTCTGTATGACTATCCATCCAGAGGTCCGGGCGACTGCGCCATTAGAGTCGGAGAACGCCTCAACATTCTGTCAGAGTAAGAGCACTGATACACAACACAACATGAGTCTGATCAGGGTTATACGTCTGATAATATAACGTGTGTGTGTGTGTGTGTTACAGTGAGGGAGAGTGGTTTAAAGTCAGCTCATCAGCCACAGGAAACGAGAGCTACATCCCCAGCAACTACACCGCCAAACTCTACAACAGGTGAGTAATCACAATCAGACTGTTGTGCTCTTTCCAGATCATTCCTACACGTCTATGCTTTGCGTGAATTATGGGAGTTACTTCTGATTAGGGATTTTAATAAAAAAATAAAATGAAGTGTCTCTAAAAATTGGAAACGAGGGTTTCATTCTCCTCGATGCTAGCTAATCATTTAACTAATGTTATTTAGTCCCAGAACAAATGTCCAAAACCACAACAAACTGACTTAAAATTAACAGAAATTAAACAAACAAGCTTCAAATATACAGTCAAACATTAAAAGACCACTTATTACAATTGACAAGTTACTTTCGGAAACCTGAATAACTTTCTGCGCAGTGACATTAGAGTTGCGTATGAAACATTATTGTACTGCAGAGTTTCTCAACCATGTTCCTGGAGAACCACCAGCTCTGCACATTTTCTATGTCTCCTTAACCAAACACACCTGATTGAGGTCATCAGCTCATTAGCAGAGACTGAAAGACCTGTAATGGGTGAGACAAAGGAGACATCTAAAACATACAGTGCTGGGGATCCTCCATGACGTGGTTGAGAAACACTATGGTATGCAAAAAAAAAAAAATCAGGATTATTAAGTTACGTTTACTTTATTTTAAACTTATTTACATCATTTTTATGATTATAACGCACAAAGACAACATACCTCTCTCTCAGTTTTCAGTATGTTTATGGATTATACCACAAGAGTGTCACTCATATAATAGTGAAGGAAGCCCCGCCTTCTAGTAAAGGAGCCAATCTTTCATTGATATAGACTCAAAGTGAAACGATTCTTTGACAGAGAGGCTCAATAGAGATGTGTGATTTTATGACCGTTTCTGCAGCTTCATTGTTATGAACCCTCTGGGGTTGACAATTGTACTGAATACTTGCCTCACAGACATGGGAAATATATAGATATCAACCTGGAAACCTCTACTTTTATACAAACCAACTACATTTAAAAACAAATGTTCTCTGGTTTTGCAATCTGTTTTAAACGAATGCCACACATACAGTCTTTCCCAGTCTGACCTCAGTGTTTTAAACGAATTCCCGCCTCCGTCATTCAAACGCAAATCACATGACGGCAAACCTGTAAACAAAGAAGCCTCTGTCATTTTGAAAGAAGATTTGAAGTCAGAAATACGTTGTAAATTACTTCAGAAGACTTTTAGTGTGATCGAACGCAGCGTTTTTCAAAGGATGATATTGTGTCAGATATTCATTCTTAAAGTAATCACATAGTTTTATTGACCGAATGCCATCTGATCGTATCCTCTATAAATTATTCAACTCATGTTTATTTCTATAGCGCCTTTACAATGTAGATCAGGGATCACCAATTTCGTTCTTGGAGGTCCTGTGTCCTGTAGATTTTAGCTCCAACCCTAATCAAAGACACCTGAACAAGCTAATCAGTCTTACTTGGTTTACTTGAAACACTGAGGCAGGTGTGTTGAGGCGAGTTGAACGAGATTGGTGACCTCTGATATAGATTGTGTCAAAGCCGTTTAACATAGATGTTGGTTTTCATGGTCTTGTTCCAATTAGGTGTGAATGCACATTAGGTTGTGCAACCTAATGTGTTTTTGATCTGATCCATTTACATTTAGAAACTAAATTCATTAGCCAGTTATTCTTAAATTTCATTGGTGATTCCAAATCTAAAATTGAAATAGGCCAGCCAAACAGTCAAGCAGAATTTGATGTTTCTTCATTCAAAGAGATAGCAGCTGCGTTTACATGCATGCGAGGTGTTTCAAAGATGGCCGCTGAGTCAAATGACTTGCCTCGAAGGGACTTTCGTGCGAACCATAATCTGAAATGGAGTCGTCACATGCGAGAAGAGTGGCTTGCTTGACTGTGTGCATACATTATGACATCACACTATGGGTGGTCTGGCTGATGGTGTGGGTGACATCATGATTCCCCCAGGGGTGCTCTGCTGATGTCAGCTGTAGTTTTTCTGAGTGGGCTCAGCTGTTGTACTACAGTGAGGACACACCGTGACCCTCTTACAGAGTACTCTGCCTACTGCTTTTTCCTCTGCTTCGGTTTTGTTCTCATACACGTCACTCACATGTGTGTGTGTTCATGCAGGTGGCAGTTTGTGGGTCTCAGCAAACGGAAATCGGAGGAACTGCTGATGCTCCCTCATAATCAGCCCGGCTCTTTCCTCATCAGAGAGAGCGAGACCTTTCCAGGTACTGATACACAGATGACACAAGACACTTTGCACTTTTTCTATGAACTATACTCTGTCATCTAGTGCAGGGGTTCCCACAATCTTCAGCCCACGACCCCCAAAATAACAATGCCAGTGACTCTTGACCCCAAATATCCTCTGAGGTAGTTCTAAATATAAACTTTGCACACAACGGAGCACACATACCAAAAGTCTACTAATCAATTAATTTTGAAAAATCACTCGCAGACCCTCCTCTATGTTCAGTTGTGGCCCTTTATTTACTTTTAATGTACGTCAGGGCCATAAAGGTGCTAAAGTTTAACATGGTGCTATAAAATCAACGTACTGTCTCTTTAATTTAACATAATCACCTCAGGGCTCGCAAAAAATGGAAAGGCTGATGGCTTTTTATTAGCACATTGTTTTTAACATAACTATTTCAAGCTATATTTTTCTTCTGTAGGTTATAGATAAAATATTAAAATATGGTCATTCTAATAGTTTAATAAACTGAATAACATTTTTGGAAATCATCAATTGACCTCCCCTCGTTGTCCTGACCCCCACTTTGGAAACCACTGATCTATGAATTATTTAAGGTTGTTTTATCATCCTGCATTGAAACCTAGATAAAGTTGTTAACACGTTGTGTCTTCTTAATATTTAAAATGTACTTTCTCTTTTTGGAGTGTTTGGTGTAAACACACTCAATTCACACACCCTCACTTCATATGTTTTATTTTTTAACAATACTTATTGATACAGAAATGTTTGTTAATACACAAATGTGGTATTTACCTACAGTTTAATTAACTATTTTTAATTTTTAATCCAATTTTCATCCAAAAGTCATGGGTGGGCTTATTTTTTTGTTTTATGCTGACTAACATCACCCAGGGGTCCGTTCTTTGTCTGTGGATTACTCAGTTAGCTGGATTTGTTTATTGACGATTTGACACTTCAGGATCATTTCGTTCTTCAAATCTGATCCGAGAGTTGTTGTCATAGCAACAGTTCTGGTAGCTCAAACCTGCTGGAGAGCAGGTTCATTTCATATAAACCGAATTAGATTGTGTCCGTTTAAGCAAAGGGAATACTGATTACACATATGAGTATGTAACAAATGCTGATATTTTCCTACAGTAGTAGTTTTATACACATGGGAAATATAGTAAATACATTTTTAACTATATATAATGTTAAAAATATATATATTGATATAACGTATGCAATCTGCACTCAAAAATAAAAGTACTAACACCTGGTGGTTCAATGAGAACATTTATTGATATGAACTTTTTAGATCGCTTTAGTACAATTTGTGTTTGATAATAGACATGCACAATATGTGACTTCATTTTAAGACAATAATACATTTATGCAGTCGTGAACATGTTTTGACAGCTAGTATGACAGTGTTTTGATGTTTTACTAAAGTTGCAGACACCTTTACCAATATCAAAATGCTTTTGTATACATCCAGTGATTCTTTACACCGATTAAGAAACCTGCTACTATAATACTGTCATGGTTACTATAATAAAGAAAATCCACTCTAACTGTAAACCTAATTAATTTGCTAAATACTTTTGCCACATGAAAGTGTAAAGCCTGCAGCCCACAACAAAGGTGGAAAGTTCATGCTTATCATATTTAACAAACTGTTTTCTTATGAATTTGATGTAATTTTGCTCTCATGGATAATTGAATATTAATCAGATGATGTCATTACCCTGCTGTGCTGTCAGCCAATCATTGCATTGCTGATCATGATTTTAAAGATCGATAAATCTGTTCTTTACAACACATGCAGCAATCTCAGATCAGTTCATCCATTTTAATCTGATTCATGAACTCGTTTGAAGAACCAAATTAGCCAGAGATCAGTTATCAAGATTAAAAGATCCGGGATCTGCCAAATCATCTTAGATCATTTAAGCGAGGTACGAAGAATGGACCCCTGATCACCATGGCACCTTAATTGCAACATGTTTACTACTATTCTTTAAGTCCACGTGAACTAAAAGTTGCTGAGGCGTTTATTTCATTATGACGATTTCCAACAAAAAATTTATATTGAGTAGGGGGCGGGGCTTACATTTTAAATCATCATTGCCTCATAACAAACTAATTGTAAAAGGGGCGTGGTTAAGTATATTGTGTCTGAAGTTGTCAAAATGACAGCAACAGTAAAGCACCACCACTTCAAACACGAAAGCAAATTTTGATTAAAGATTACCAAAACAAACTGTTTTTAGTGGATTAACTTGCTGAGATTACCTGGGGTCTGTTCTTCGTACCTCGCTTAAATAATCTAAGATGATTTGGCAGTTCCTGGATCTTTTAATCTTGTTAACTGATCTCTCGCTAATTTGGTTCTTCAAACAAGTTCGCGAATTAGATTAGAATGTCTGGATAAACTGATCTGAGATCGCTGTGTGTGTTGTGAAGGACAGATCTATCGATCCTCGAAATCATGATCAGCAATGCAACGATTGGCTGACGTCACAGCAGCGTAATGACATCATCTGATTAATATTCAATCATCCATGTGAGCAAAATTACGTCCAATTAGCAGTAAACGGCTTGTTAAATATGACACGCAAGAGTATTTATCATGTATTTTAATGCATATCAATGCCTATTTAGTTCTACATTTAGAAAAGATTTTCTTTATTTTAGTAGCCGTTTTTTAATCGGTGTAAAGAATAACTGGTTGTTTACAAAAGCATTTTGATATTGGTAAAGGTGTCTGCAACTATTGTGAAGCATCAAATCACTGACATATTAACTATCAAAACATGTTCATGACTGCATAAATGTATTATTGCTTTAAAAATTTCACATATGTTTATTATACACAATTTGTACTAAGCGATCTAAAAAGTTCATATCAAAAAGTTTTCTCTGTGCACCACCAGGTGGAAGGCTTTGTACTTTCATTTCGAGAGTGCAGATTGCATAAGTTTTATTAATATATATAACTTTATTTATTTTATGAATAACTATAACTTATAGTTATATATATATATATATATATATATATATATATATATATATATATATATATATATATATATATATATAGTTTTAAAAGTATTTACTCTTTTCCCAAGTGTATATAACTACTAATGTAAGAAAATATCAGAATTGAGAACATACTTTCTGTATTACATTTGCTTGAACTGAGCCGATCTAATCCTGTTTATATAAATTGAACCTGCTCCCGATCAGGTTTAACCTGGCAGAACTGTTGCTATGACAACAACTCTCGGATCAGCTTTGAAGAACGAAACGATCCTGGATCGTGTCAAATCGTCAATATCCAAATCCAGCTAACTGAGTAATCCACGTACGAAGAACGGACCCCTGTTCGCTTAGAGAATAACAACATGCGCTGGCAAAATAGCATTCTGAATACCATAGGAAAAGCACAGCAACATCCAGATCATCCTAGCAACTTGTTAACTAACATATTGATTGCCTCGAAAACAGCATAGAAACCAGCCACAACAATATAGAGAAACGTAACATTCTTAATACATTATCAGCTGCATACCAACCACCCAGAACACACTAGAAACTGCACATCTATGTATTAAATACCATTCTGAATACATTCTCAAAGCATTCACCCAGAACACCTTAAGAACAGCATAGCAACATGTTGAATACCATCCTGAACACATCAACAACTGGAAAGCAACCACCTAGAATACTCTAGCAACATTTGTCTTTATTTTCCCTCTCTAGGTAACTACACTCTGTCAGTGCGCAAAAGCGGCTCACAGGAGCGTGCATCTGTCAAACACTACCGTATCAGCTGTATCGACAACGGCTGGTTCTACATCTCTCCTGGACTCACCTTCAGGACCCTCTCAGACATGATCGCGCACTATTCAGGTACAGTACACACTAACACACACTTCATTGACACTTATTGCCTGGGTCATTGCTGGATGTGTGCATGACACTGATATAACGCAATACCAGTGGTGGACAGTGACAAAGTATTTTACTTTAGCTCAGATAAAACTCAGTGAATCTTCAGTTAGCAGCTCGCTGATACAGATGATTTGGTCTGAATGATGACGAGTCTTCCAGTTAATGACTCACTGATTCAATTAATATGGTTGGAACTAGTCTCCACTCAAGTTAATGATATACAGATTAAAATAATTCAACCAAAGTTAGTCTTCTAGTTAATGATTCAATGATTCAATCAATTCGGTAAGAACGAGTCTTCACTCCAGTTAATGACTCCCCGATTCAATCTATTTGGTAAGAGTTAGTCTTCCAGTTAATGACTCACTGATTCAATCAATTTGGTAGGAGCGAGTCTTCACTCCAGTTAATGACTCACTGATTCAATCTATTCAGTAAGAGCGAGTCTTCCAGTATATGACTTACTGATTCAATCAATTTGATGAGAGTGAGTCTTCACTCCAGTTAATGGAATACAGATAAAAGTAATCCAAATCAGAGTGAGTCTTCCAGTTAATGACTCACTGATTCAATCAATTTGGTAAGATTGAGTGTTCCAGTTAATGACACACTGATTTACTCAATTTGGTATTAGCGAGTCTTCACTCCAGTTAATGGTTTACAGATAAAAGTAATCCTATTCAGAGTGAGTCTTCCAGTTAATGACTCACTGATTTAATTCTAGTAAAAGCGACTCTTCACTCCAGTTAACGACTCACTGATTCTATCAACATAGTAAGAGTGAAGCTGCGTCCCAAATCGCATACTTATGCACTATTTTACGCCATTTTGTAGTATAAATAGTGTAAGTAGTGTGTTCACATTGAAAACTCTCAAAATAATAAGTGCACTTTAATTACCCGGATGATGCACTCATTCAGCCGCTAAAACGAAGTGTGTAATGATGGACACTTCACGCACTCAACGACCGCAGGTTTGCTTACGTAGCGGAAGGGGCGGAGCGATCGGACGCACATGTTGAATAACTTTATTTATTTTGGATAGTGAAAGCAAAATTCTCCTACGAGAGTAATTATAGCGCCTCCGGATGGTGAATGCGGCAATACTCACGGCAGGTATTACTTGATAATTCAGTCGTTTATTTCACTGATTTGGCAACAGTCAAACGTCATCAGGGAAACGGTTTGAATTTCCGCTTAGTAAAAAAACATTAGTGTGCCATTTGGGACAGCACTACATACATATACTATCCTGTTGAGTGTGTAAGTGCATAAGTACATAGTGCATGAGTGCATAGTGTATAGTGTGCCATTTGGGACGCAGCTTGAGCCTTCAAACCAGTTAATGGCTCAGTGATTTAATCAATCTGGTAAACCATCAGTCTTCACCCCAGTTAATGGTATACAGATTAAAATAATCCAATCAGAGTGAGTCTTCTGAGAGTCTTCATTAATTCTTCATAGAGAAATAATGACTCACTGATTCAATTAATTCAGTTGGAGTGAGTCTTCAGTTTAACGATTTACTGATTTAAGTGAAGATTCGGATAGAGCAGGGCTGCATTAGTCCAATTTGTATGCCCTTTAGGCTAACTTCCTTAGGTCTTGTTCCCTCAGATGTACAGTGTTGATTACGTCAAACAATTAGAATGCCCTAAACCCTTGAGCACTAGGAAACTTCACCGTTGTTATGTCACAATCACGTTCCATTCTTGGACATAGCTGCTAGAGTGGACATTTAAAGCAGACTAGCTAAAGACTTACCTAAAATCAAGTGATCGTCAAAATGGTACTGGAGACTTCCTCGAGGGAACAAGTGAAGGAAAGTTCATGCGTTTACAGGTTTAATAGTGGACTAGAGCACAGTATCTGTATTTTGACCTTAGTCATTGATTAATTTCATTCACCACTGGATAGAGGAAATGGCCCATCTTTTTACTCTCCCTCAAGTGTTTCCCAAACCTTTGAGTTTATGTCCTCTGTTGAACACAAAAGGTATTCTGAAGAATGTTGGAAGCCAGTACTCATTGACTTCCATAGTAGGAAGAACAAATACTATGCAAGTCAATGGCCATTTCTAACATTTTCCTCAAATATCTTCTATTTTGTTTAATTCCAAACATCTTTGAAACAAGTTGAGGGTGAGTAAATGGTGACAGGATTTATGTTTAGGTGAACTATCTCTTTAAGCATGAGTTTCAGTAGCAAAGTATGTGTGTGTTGTGGCTGGAATGTAATAGTGAACTGTCCTTCAGAAGTATCGGACGGGTTGTGCTGTACTCTCGGAGAGCCGTGCTTCATCATCGGATCCAACAATGTCCCTGTGGTCAATGGCGCTCCTCCGGTTGCGGTGAAAAGGCCAACTATCAACTGGAAAGATGTTGACAGGTGCGTCAAACACGCCACAATACAAGTTTCCAAAATAGCCATGTATCCATGAACAGATTTTTGTGCACATTTTAGCCTAATGTGCATAAAATAATGCTGAATGGAAACTCCAGACTAAAAGTAAATACTAAAAATGTACATACTGTAATTAATATATGTGCTCAAATGAGTCTGATAAACTACATTTGAAACATTTACTAAATATAAAAAACTCTCTACAGCTCTGGTGGTAGCACTTTCAGCTTAGCTTAGCATAAATCATGCAATCGAATTAGAGCATTAGCATCTCAAAAATGTTTCAAGCTTTTTCATATTTAAGGCTTTACTCTTCCGTACATTGCTGCTATACCATGACTGCCGCAGATGTAATATGCAGCACCTGAAAATAGTGCCAGGCATGATAATATACAATGTTGTTACCTAGTTACCATGGCGCCTGCTGCAGCCATGGTACAGCAGCAAATTACACCAGAATTAGTATAGTTCTGATACATTTTATTATTCGTCAGTCTTAGTACACAATGTAACTACAGAAGTCACGCTTTAATAGGGTAACTATCAGAACTTTATTTTTAAGAAAGATGCTAACGGTCTAATCTAATTCAATTATTTACGCTAAGCTAAGAGCTCTCCCTCCAAACCTGGAGATTAGCTGAATAGATTAAAAACATTTAGACTCAACTTTTGAACTCTAAGGCACTCATCAAACAAGAATAAAAAAAAAAATGGAATGTTTCAAAAGTGAATTCACAATTAAACCCCTAATGTTGCACTGGCGCTCTCATATTAAAGCTCCTTCAAATCTCTCTGTGCAGCTCCATGATCTTCAGTCAGACTAAAGAAGGAGCTGAGGATTCTCTGGTGAGCGAGGGCCTGAAGGAAGCCATCAATTCATACCTCTACATGACGGAGAAATGCGAGGACTGCTGTCAGCTCTGGGAGACGTGACAGGAGAAAGAGCGAGCGTATAAAGGACTTTCGCTCGTCTGTTTCTTAGAAGATGAGTGCAGAAGCGGTTTGGGCGTCGGATGAAGTTTTCCCTGACTCATTACTGTTCTTCCAGAGTGGGTGCTGGAGATGTCAGATGTGAGACTCGTCCTGAAAGAGCCACAGAGGAGTGTGTGTGTGGGTGGAGGAACAGATGGAGGTGGCGCATCCACTTACACACACTTGTGACGCATTTACATGAGGCGGCATGTCACTGGAAGACCAGAGGAGCTGTACTTACAGTATCAAGGAGATATTGGTCGATGTATCACTTCAATTGGAAAAAAGAATGTATTTATAACTTGGAATATTTGTTTGTAAATAAATGTACAGTTTTCAAATATCAAGTGACTTTTTGAAATTGATGAGTTTCTCTGGATATACGAGGTTTGAGTAGTATTAAAGGGATAGTTCAAGCAAAAGTCAAACCAGTTTTGTTTTGTGGAATGTTAGAAACATGTAACCATTGATTTTCATAGTTTCATAGTTGTATGTCCTACTATGGAAGTCAATGGTTACATATACCTAACGTTCTTCGAAACATCTACTTTTTGTGTTCAACACAAGTAACAAACTCAGAGGTTAGTAACCACTGGAGAGTGAATCAGTGACTTTATATGGATATCAATAATCAAAGAATTTGCCTTAATCTGATTAAAACTATACATAAGGCAATAGCACAAGTTACTTTTGAAAGTTTCTTCCATGATTCTGTTTTACATGTTATAGCTAATAACTCAACGTGATTGCTATTCATGTTTCCTCTAGAGTTTCATGTAATTTCAGGCTTTTAATTTTTTGACTTTAACTGCAGTTTCTCACTTTCACTTTCATTCAAATTAACATTAAAATGTTACGATGCTTCTAAACATCTACAACTAGCCCAAACGTTAATCGCACTACTACATACAAGTCATAACTAAAACACTACTATACAATGCAATGCTACAACATTGTCTCAATACAATGCTTCATTTTGCACACATCTGCTGTTTTATTTATGATCAGCTCTGCTCAGCTCTTCTGACAGGTCTTCAAATGAGTCGTTCGTTCACCTGACACTGACAGTCCCGTATAAGCTTAACTAATAAAAAATAAATCAAAAATGGCTTCCCATGTATAGGCTTATATAATTTCTCAAAAACAAGGTTAATTACTTTAATTAGTTTTTTTTCTTTTTCTTCTTTAAAATGTATTCTGCAGATTGGTACAATATCTCCGTTTTCTTAAATCAATAGTTAACCCTTTTTGAAACCAATAAAAATAAATAATTAAACTTTAAAAGTTTAAAAAATGCAATAAAAAGCTTACAGTCTGAGCCAGAAACACCCATGATTAGTTCACCTTTTGAAGCGTTCGTTCATCATGTGACTATGTAAAGAGATAACGAAACGGAGAACTCGAGAAATGAATGGATCAAATCTTTTTCCAGCTCTAAATGCATATGACTGGCTTCTGTCTCTTATGTGAAGAACGAACGACTCAAACCCGATAGAGGACTACGATGAACTAACCTCCTACTCCACCTGCACAAATGTGCGCATGTGCAAAGAACGAATTACTCCCTGAGAGGTCTCATCTTTCGAGTCGTATAAAAGATTCGTTTAAAATAAACAAAAGGTTTAAGACCGATCCAGTGTGACAAACTAGGGTATTGAATGATCGGACTGGTGGAAGAGTGTTGTTTTAATAGACCTTAATAACGCATGCCGAATGGAAGGGAAAAAAAGTCTCAGCACTTCGCAATGCAGGTGTATTTGTCCTTTTACTGACTCGGTAGGTGGTGGACTATCCTGTCGCAAAACGCAGTGAAAAGTCTTTCATGACAGGCAGTAATAGTTTTATAAAGGTGCTACATGTCTTCAATAATGCCACTGAAATCGGCATACTTCACATCTTAATTCCATCTATTTAGCTCAATTATGAACTTAATCAGTTTATAATTAATAAAAAATGCTGTTTACATGGTAGACTCTTAATCAGAGTTAAAATCATATTATTGGGGTCCATATACCTGTACTAAATGTTTTTAATGAACTGTCCCTTTGGGTTTGTTTTATTCTAAGATCTGAAAGCATGTCTTCCATATTTGAAAATGGCTTTATTGAAATATTTAATGCTTCTAAAGTTAAAACTTTGGTATTGTTTGCTCTAAAAATCAATATAAAGTCTATTAAATATAAACAAGGCACTGTTTTGGTATTTTTATGTTGTAAAAGTGCTAAAAATAATTATGGCGTCATCAGCACAATATTTTACTCCAAACAAATATAGTAATATAAATTGTAAATCAAGAGAAACATTCATATTGAATTGCTTTAAAGGTCATTTCGCCCATAAATGGAAACTATCCACTCCCCTTCGTGTCAATACTTTCAATATTTGGAACTTCCCAATTAACTGTCTTTGTACTTTAAGAACATAAATGTCAAGATATTTTCAAAAGAATATGGGGATTTGTCTAATACATAATGTCAATATCATAATCAACAATATTAAGATATTTAGTGTGCTTGATATTCACTTTTGATGCATCTTGTTTGCCATCACTTGAATGGGTGTTAAAAAGCATGACTGTGGTGTGTGTTTGTAGAAGCTGACAAAAGCATCTTAGTGAAGTGTTTCCTGTCAGTGTTTTCACCTATTGTTGCAGACCGCAGTGTTGAGCAGCAGGAAGTGAAGATGTGGTTCGATCTCAGCAGAGACACGTTTATACCTGGCATGATCTGAAAAATAAACACTCAAGAAATTTATAGTTAGAGTTGAAGGATTTAAACTATTTTTTTTTTATGTTCGTTTCTTCTCAGCATCACAAACGACATTTGTGTTGCATTGGAGATTTCCATTATATAGAATAGTCTCCAGCGGATGTTTGTGTTTTTGTACATCTACAGTGGCGCGCTTGAGGAAACATGTAGAGCTCAGTTATGATAAAGTGCCCCCTGTAGACGTAGTGTTTATTTGCAGTAATTAAATCAGCTAAATATGGCAATAAAATGAGTTTACAGATGTAGCACTAACTTCTGATTTGGTAGCACAGCACATGCAGAATCACATATATCTGGTCACACTTTATTTTAAGTTAAGTTTCTTACTTTAAAACTATTAACAAAGTCTTTTAAATAAATTAATTAGCTACTCATTAGTAGGAAGGTATTAGTTAGATTTAGGACATGAAGGACTAGTCTAGTACAAGTAAAAAGTCAATATCTATCTATCCATCCATGGATTCATCAGTTAATGGATGCATCAGTTAATGGATGCATTGACTATGGCAGTCAATGCATTCATCCATCCAGTGAATGCATCTATCTGTCTGTCCATCTACCCATCCATGGACCAGTCAATGCATCTATCCATCCATCCATGGATCCATCAGTCAATGAATGCATCCATCAATCAGTCCGTCTGTCTGTTCATCCATGCATCTATCCGTCAGTCAGTCAATGCATATATCTATCTATCCATCCATCTATCTACCTATCCATAAATCCATTAGTCAATGAATCCATCCATCCATTCATCCATCAATGCATCCATCTAACCATCCATCAATCTACCCGTCCATGGATCCATAAGTCAATGAATGCATCTATCCATTCATCCATCAATGCATCTATCTATCCATCATCAATCTACCTATCCATGGATCCATTAGTCATTGAATCCATCCATCCATTCATTCATCCATCAATGCATCTATCTATCCATCCATCAATCTACCTGTCCATGGATCCATCAGTCAATGAATGCATCTATCTATACATCCATCCATCCATCCATCCAGTCAGTCAGTCAGTCAATACATCCATCTATCCATCCATCCACCTTTCCATGGATCCATTAGTCAATGAATGCATCTTTCGCTCCATTAATCAGTCAATGCGTCCATCCATCTATATATTCATTCATCCACTCATCCATCCAACCAATCAGTCAATCCATCCATCCATCCATCAATCTACCTGTCCATGGATCTATCAGTCAGTGAAAGCATCTATACATCCATCCAGTCAGTCAGTACCTCCATCTATCCATCCATCCATCCATTTACCTTTCCATAGATCCATTAGTCAATGAATGCATCCATTCATCCATCAATCAGTCAATGCGTCCATCCATCCATCCATCCATCCATCCCAGTGATATTATTAATTATGCAACTGTTTAGATTACAAATTATACACAAGCAATATTTTCTTTGTCAGTGGATGTATTATGTCAGACCTGCTGTGGCTTTGTAATTGGATTTTTATTGTTTATTATTTGTGTGTATTTTTGTATGGGTTAGGTTCTCAGCTCATACAATCAAAATCTTTTGCATTGAATTTTGAGTTGCAATTTTATTTTATTTTTTACTAAATTCTGTGCAGAAAAAGAAATAAAAGTACACAGATTGAGTCAGTCAATGATAATAAGCCAGAAGTTAATAGTGGGAACTGGGTCAATTACCGCAACTGCTCTTCCCGAGTTTTGTGTTCAAATCCCTGCTTGTAAACCTTACGCAATACTATCTCACTTTCTCTAACTTTGCTTCCTGTCCATATACAGTCCCATCAAGAGCAAAAACCCAAAGATAAATATATTAAAAAAAAAAAAAAAAAAAAACACACATTGAGAGAATTGGTACTGAAACTGTTACCTTTAATCTTCATGGCACCAAATTAACCTTGACCAAAATCAAGTTTCTCCAGCACAAAAAGATTGAGGAATAAAACGAAAGATCAAATGAACACTTGTGCACTTAAACAGGAGAACAATCTCTTAAAATCGCATTTTAATGAAACAAACTCCACAAATTATTGTATACAAGCAGAAATGGTTCATTGAGGAACACTGAGTGTATTCTAGGACACTTTTAGAGAGAGAGAGAGAGAGAGAGAGAGAGAGAGAGAGAGAGAGGGAGGGAGTAAGAGAGAGAGAGAAAAAGAGAGAGAGAGAGAGAGAGATCAAGCATCAGACCTCTATCTCTTGGGCCAGTTGTGCCGAAATCCTCTGCAAACAGAAAAATACCAATCAATTAAAAATAATAATAATTATAATAAAAATAATAATAGTAATAAACTTGAAAGTAAATTCAGCTATGAATGTTTGAGCGTTACACTACCTGTCAGATTTGGCGGGAACATAAGACATGCTCCGGCCTCCCCCTCCGCCCTTCTTCTGTCCTTTTAGGTTTTTCTGAGGCAGAATTGGTTGAAAATTAGAAGTCTTGCTAAAAATTTCCATCGTAAGTGGACGACGCTAACACTGGTGAAAATGGGGTCTAAAGGCTTTAGACATACTTTCACTTCCAGATGTAATCAAATCAATTTCAACTGTTTACATCATTTTTTTACTGCA